GGCGGCTTGAGGCGAGGCCCTGGAGGCCCTGGAGGCACAGGCATTGGTCGGTCATCGATTGCTCTGCGGAGCTGTGCGGAGCCCTGAAGCGGCGGCGGCGCCCCGGAGGACCCCCCCCCCCTCCCCCCTTCCACCTGAACCAACGCCCCCTCGCACCCCCTGAGCTCCAGCGGGGAGTGCCGCGGAGGGGGAGGGGGCAGCTGCAGACAGGTGCGTGAGCGCTTGAGCCAAACACACCGCGGCCGCGCGGCCCACGCGCAACGGCGGCACCGCGCGGGGGCGTGGCGGAACGCGGGGGCGGAGGGGCGTGCGCACCCTGCGGCCTGCGGCACACTGCGGCCCGGCGACGCTCCTCCGAACTAGGCCGGCAAATCGGTCCAAAGACCACGAAACCACGAACCCGTAGAGGGATCGGACGCCCAAAGTCTCCCAAAATTACGATTTTCCGTCATTTGCCATCGTTTCGACCAACTTTTGAAACGAACCCGCTCTTAAACAATTCCCATGAGTAATTCACGGATGTGTACCAGTGCCCTTAAACATTCGAAATATTCACAGATATTCTCTTAGGCACTGCGTGTTGCGGGGGGCGTAAAGGACCGCGCCGATGACAGCGCTTCCCACGACGGCGAGGCGCTTGCTGCTGTGGGCGCTGCCAGGCGCTGCCTATGGCGCTGCTGCCTCTGCCGCCGCGCCCGCGCCGCTCCCAGCAGCACGTGTGCTTATCGCCAGCCGGGGCCGTTGTCCCGGTGCCACCCCCGCCGCGTGCACGTCGCCGCGTCTCTCTCGCACCCCTCCGAGACGTCCCCCGAGTGCGAGCGGGACGGGCGACGCGTTTCGGAAGCGGCCTGCTGCGGCAGCGCCACGCCGCGCCACGCCGCGCCCTACCGCCGGCGTGCCTGGCGTGATGAATGACAAGGCATGGTACAGCCCCACATAATCAATACCGCAGGCCTGGGTAGCCTGGGTCCCTGGGTGGGCGTACCCACATGCCGCTCTCTCTCGCTCTCGAGGGAGGCTGATCGGCGTGGGGTGCTCCCCGCGCCGCAATCGCTTTCTTTGTCCCGCGGTTCGACACGTAGCACCCCGCACACACCTTCACCCACGCCGTCATCAATGGGCTAACAATGCGGTCAGCGCACCGCGGCGCCGGCCCGGCACCCCTGTGTGCTCGCCCGTGCTCTCCGCCGCCACCGCCAGAGCGCTGGCCGGGCCGGGCTGGCCGGAACGGCCCGGGCCGCGGGGTGCGGCGGTGCGGCCCGCCACCGTCAGGGGGCGCCACCGCCACGGGCCTGCCCAGCCCAACCCAACCCGGTCGGTCCAGAGGGCGTCGACCCGCGGCACAGCGGGCACAGCGCACGACTTGGGCCAAGCCCTCCCCTCCGCCACCCCAACAATACGCCGCGGCGTCCCTCTCATCCCCGCCGAACCGCCCGCCCCGCACGCCGCGAGTACCTAGTGGTGGTGGCGCCAACGCGCGCCGAAGAGCGCCGACGCCACCGCACTGTGAGCGAATAAAAATTTGCCCCGCTAATGATGAAACCGGAAAGCAGGGCCGTATGCGAGCACGCCGCGCCGCCCGACGAGGACAAAAGGGAGACGGGGGCGGAAGGGAAGCGCCCCGCCCCGCCCCGCCCGGAAGCCGCGCCGCACGGGCCTAAATGCCTCCCCGCCCATTATGGCCAGGATCACCCTGGCGCCAACGCGGCACTGCGGCACCAGCAGACCGACTCCGAGAGTCGTTTTCGTCGCTCTGTCTCTCTCGCACTTATGGGGCGTGCCGTATGGGTGCGAGGGAGACAGAGCGACGAAATCGACTCCCGCAGTCAGTCTACAGGGCCGGCACAGGCCGGGCTGCGCCATGCCCCGCGGCCACGGCCTGCTTGTGCAGCTTGCGGAGCTGGGGCTCCACTTGAGAGCCGCGGCCAAAGCATAGCAAAGCAGCCGCCGGGCGCTCGGCAGCCTTCGGCCGTTCGGCCGGGCGTGGGCCGAGTCTGCCGGGCCGACCAGCCGGACGGGCAGAGGGAGGGACGGGCGGACACTGCCAAAGAATCAATAATTTAGCACCCTCTCCTCTCCTGCAGCGGTGCGGCGGCGGCGGCGCTGCGCGGCGCCCAGAGCCCTGGCCCTTCCGCGCGGCTCGGCGCCGCCGCCCTGGGCCCGCCCTGGCCCGCCCTGGCCACCACCACCCCGCCGGGCCGCCGCCAGCCGCCAGCCGCCCCCGCGCAGACCCACCCCCTCGGCGCGCCCGGGAGTCCCGGCGCCGCGCCATCCCCTCCACCGCTGCATCCCGTGCCGCCGCGCCTTGCCGCGCCTTGCCGCGCCTTGCCGCGGACGAGGACGACGACGGCGACGAGGGCGCCTCGGCTCGGCTCGGTGCAGAGAGACGGCAGAGGGGGAAGCCGGCCGGCTCGGCTGGCTCGGCGCACCAGCACGCGGCAGCATGCGGCAGCAGCACACCCACGCCGCGGCCACGCCATGGCGACGACGCCGAGGACGGGGCGGCCGCGCGGCGTAGCGGCGACGCGGGTTTTGTATCGACGCCCAGACTCCCCCGCCTCACCCCGCCGCCCGCGCCACCCCCGCACATCTCCTGGGTGCACCCCGCAGGCCCGGCATGGCCCGGCATGGCCCGGCAGCGCGCGGCAGCTTCCTCTCCGGTCGCAGAGCGGCCGCGTAGCCGCGCCGGGTTTGAGCCTGAGCCTGCTGTGCCGGCCGGGCTAGGCCGGGCTAGGCCGGGCCGCCGGGGTGGGCGTGGCAAGGACCGCAAGGACCGCGCTCGCGGAAGCAACGCCGCTCAGCCGCACCCACCTGGCCTGGCCACAAGTGTAAACTGCAAACGGCAAGCCTCCACCGGTCCTAGAGGTGCCGCCTGGCTGGGTGCCACCTAGGGGTGCCACCTAGGGGTACCACTCGGGGCGCCTGGAGGAACCCACGAAAAAGGAGAGGGATGCGGAACACGTCGCGGCCCTTGGGTCACACAGTCAGCGCGTGCATTGATCTCTGGCAGTGGGCTGCTGTGGGGGCCACTTGAGGCGGATTGCCCCCCCCCCCCCCTTTCGCGATTCAAACACCCCCACACTCCTAGACAAGCATTGCGCTGCGACTTCGCCGACTTCGCACGGCGATTTCGCCCGGGGAGCCATATGCTCGCGCATACGTCCCCATTTGCCGGCGGCGACAGAGCGAGAGACGAAGGGCTGGAGGCTGGAAGGGCTGGAAGGGCACAGAGCGGCGGCACGGAGCGGAAATTCGAAAGGAAAGAGGGGCGGGGGTGGGCAAGGGTGGGAGGGGGTCACAGAAGAAGAGGCATGGCTGGCAATAAAGCCAAAGCCAAGGCGGTGGGATCCCCCTGGATCCCCCGCAGCCACGCCTCGCCCCCCGCCCCCGCCGGCCTGACGCACAAATCCCGCGCCATCCCTCTAAACTCGCGACTCGCGACACAACTAGACGGATGGTGCGGGCCTCGCCTCGCCTGCCTCCGGCCGTGGGAAGCGGGTCCGGACCCACAGAGACACAAAACACAAGGGCAGACAAGGCCGGCGGCGAGGGCCAGCGAGCTGATTCCGGACGGTGCTTTCGTCGCTCTGTCTCTGTCGCACTCGTGGGACATGTAAGGGTACGAGGAATCAGGCTGCGGGGCGCGGCAACCGGCAGCACAGCGCTGTTGCCAGGGCGGCCACCAGAGTGCGCTCTAGCGCACCGCAGCGTCAACGCGATACGCGAACCTCGCAGATTTAGATAAGCCCGGTAGGGCGTACGAAAGTACACGGTACACGGCTCGCCTGCGCCCCAGCAGTGCCCCGGCACCGAAATTCACCGCCACAGTGTAGGCAGTGGGAAATGGGGTGAAAGGGGTACGGCCCGCCCCGCCAGTTCCTCTACGTGGGCAGCGGGCGGCGCGGCGGATCAGCCCCGCCCCGCACCGCGTCGCCTCGTCCATCATGCCTGCCTTTATCCGCGCTGAATGGGGATCCCGTCCCTTCCCTTCATTGGGGCGGGTATTCGCCGTCGCGCACTAGACGGCCGGCTCCACGCGCCCCCACCGCACCGCGCCCGTGTAGCACGAGCACCACCATCACCACCTCCAGCGCGATGTGATGTTCACCACTGACCCGGCAGGGCCGCCGGGCAGGGCGCCGGGGACGCGGGGAGGGAACCGAGGGAACAGAGGGAACCCCCCTGACGCGGCTGCCCGTCGGCCGGCCTGCTGGTCCAATCTGCAACCCGGCCGGCCCGGCCACCCGCAATGCGCCACTTCTGCCGGTGTCCGCCCGCCCGTCCGCCCGCCCGTCCGCCCCCCCGTCGGGCCGAGACGACAGCTCAGACCGTGAAAGAGTGTGCAAATCCCTTTCCGATTCATAGCGCGGCGTCGGCGCTAACGTGATATCGGCGCTTGCAAATGTGCGCGGCGCGGAGAGGGAGGGGGTAGGGGAGGGGGATAATATCCTGGCAGGACGTGGATCACGAGTGGAAACGACGGGGCCCTATTGGAGAGAGGCTTTGGAAACGAGAGGAACAGAAAGAAAACGGAGGCGGCGGCGGCTTTGGGGCCAAAGGACTGCGGTGTTATGGGAATACAATTCGATATCAGAGCGCGGCGAGAGACAGACAGACAGACACAGGCAGACAGACAGGCGGGCAGACAGACAGACGCCGCGAGGTCCAGGTCGCCGAATGGCCGAATGGCACGACCTTCGCAATGTAAACATGCACCATCGCATCTGCCGGCATATCGCACAGCGCACCGCGTCACCGCCTTGTTCATTGGCGACACACGGGCGTCGCGGACAGTTGCTAGAGCGACGAAACGACTCTGGGATTGGAATCAGTCAGCTTGACGGCCGGTGCGGCCGCCCAGTCGCAGGGGGTCTACCACCTGAAAGCCAATCAGCATGCAAATGCGGCAGCGCGGCGGCCGGCAGTGCCGGCAGTGCCTCCACTCACATTGACGTAGTGCAGGGCGGGCCGGGGGCCGGCGCGCTGCGAGTTGGGCCCGGGCACCGGCACGGGGGCCCGGTAGTAGGCCGAGCTGTACATGGGGGCGGGGCAGAGCAGCGCCTGCTGGCCGGCGGCGGTCGCGCCGAGAGAGCCCGCGGGGGGAGCGGGCTGCTGGATCATGGGGGGCTCGACGACCAACGACGAGCGCCTGCAACAGACAAAGGTTGCCGCTGTCTCTCTCGCACTCATGGGGCGCGCCGTAGCGCCGCATCGGTGCGAGAGAGACAGGGCGACAGCGCGACACGCATGCGAGGCTTGTGGCTTGCGTGCGCCGCCCTGAGTGTGACATCATTTATGGACGAGCTGGGCGTCATTAGGGGAGGCGAGAAGGATCAACAGCCGCGCCAATATCGGGACTACATCGACACGGCCAGCACGACGGCCAGCACGCCGCCTGGCCGCCACCGCAAGCTTGCCAAAGAGTCCACCAAAAAGAAACTAACCAAATGTGTCGCTTGGCCCGCTGAGTCTCCGCCCCCTCCCCCGTCTCCGCCCCTTTCAGACTAGAGGGGTCACTAACGCAATGCACGGTGCAGCCGCGCAGCGCGGTGTTCCGTCCCTCTGTCTCTCTCGCACGCGTGTGCAACGCCCCGTGAGTGCGAGAGAGACAGAGACAGTCGCTCTGCGCACACTGCGTCCCCTAATGAGAGATTTCCTGCATAGGGAGACCAGGGAGACCTAGGCGGTCATGGGTCCTTAACAGCCAATCGGCAGCCGGGACGGGGAGAGGGGATGCCACTCAACTAACCGCACCGGGACATAAAATTTGGCGAAATGTGGAGGCGATTAAGAGGGCAGGCACCCCGATGCACCGCATCGTGCTAAGGGTGTAAGCTATGAGCACGGCGCAAAAAAGAACTAGTGTGTCAGACGGACACGTGCTCCGAAAATTTGACAGAATAAACATATTTGAATGGATAAGGTAAAAGCTTTTTCTTCCCCTTAAATAACTACTATTACCATCCATTTTTTTAAAACCAGCACGACGGTTCAATGTTTGAAGAGCTTAATATTTAGGATGAGAATACGTGTGGTGCTAGTGCGCTCTTTTCCTCCAACCGATTTGAGGGATGTTTGGCTTAAGATCCCCTCCCTCCCCACCCCTTATAGGTTAGACTCAGTGCATTCCACCGCAGGGTACAGTAGCTCAGTTAGCACTTCGTTTACACTGAGCTTCCTTCGCTAAAGGCACGAAGAATGTACACGTTCATGGAGTCATGTGCTTGAAATGGGAACATTAACTCAAACAATGCTACCAAATGATTGCAGCATTGCAGCAAAATGCGAAATGTAGTTGGCGACTTTGTACTTACAATCTAGAGGAAACCGGTGGATTCAGGGGCTGACGTTGGCAGGTTAGAGAGCATCATTTCCCGTGAAACACGGTAAAAGCATCTGCAAAACAAGAATCCGCCACTGCTGAATACAGTCACAGAATCCGCTGAGCTTGGACATCTTTATTTGGTACCACGGAGCAATCACGGGCAAACCGGCCATTGATCGCAGGCAGCCCGGTACAGTGTACCTCCGAGACAAAAGCGAAAAGCGAAACGAGAATCAAAATACGGCGTCACTAGACAGGGCGGTCGAGAGCTGGAAAATAACGAACCTAACTCGAACAAAAACAAAGACGGCAGTCGAAAGCCTTAATGTAAGACCTCCACCTAGCAGAACGAAATGCAGAGACGCACAATAACCAAACTTAAATGTCAAATTAACAACCGAAGATCCTTGACAAAACTAAAACGACTGCGACGTTTCGTCTGACGCAGGAAATGACACTTGCGAAAAGGGGGATATGTCCACTAGCTTAATGCAGCTGACAAAACCAACACTTCACTGGCCCATCCCTTTCGGTTAAGCGCAAGCATTTCAGTCTACACCATTCATACTTACTCTCAACTATCCGTTGGGCATATGAAACATGCCCGTTCAACTGCGTCCGTAGAGTGAAGCTCACAACGTAGAAAATTGGCCAAAGTTTCGACAGATATCTCACAAAACGCGCATGAAGAATCGTCAATATTTACACCGATGATATCAATTGCTTTGAGAGGCTTGGGCTTTAAAAGTTGACTGCAGACAGACATCAGCGCGATCTCGTAGCCAAGTCCCCAAGCTCGATGCCGAAGCCGATGCACCCGCCCAGCGCCCAGTGTCACTGACAGCTCCTGCACTGCCAAGTGGCGCCACCGTCCGCGAGACTCACATGGGGGAACTGCTGGCGCGGGGTATCGCCACCGCCGGCGCCGGGAAGGTAGGCATCCCGGTCTTGTGTTTTGGGGCAGACAAGTCAGTCTCTCTCTCACGTTTTTGGTTAGGTTACCTGTTCCCCATGGCCGAAAGTGAGGATGCCTCTCAAGAACAACCATCATCCTGCAAGGCACCTAATACGGAAGACGACAAGAGGCCTCAGTTTGGAACAAGATTTTTAACTGACTCTGACGATGTTTTTAAACATAATGCATGGTAAGATTGGCTCCGTCTTCCTCTCTATCAAAAGTGCATGTGGGTTGTCAAGTTCTTCAATGTGCTCCCTTTCTGACTCTAATTTTTGTTCATAAAGGGATAATGTGGAATGGGATGAAGAACAACAGAAGCAAGCCCAGATGAAAGTTGCAGAAAATTCTGAAAAGTTGGTTCCAGAAGAAAACCGTCAGAAGTTTGAAGATGACGCCAACAAGTACTGGGATTCATTCTACAATAATCATCAAAACAGGCAATGTTTATGTTACTATTCTATGGATTTGTAACGCACTGAAGTCGTCTTAATTTATTTCATATTATTTATTTTTTCTTTTAGATTTTTTAAGGATAGGCATTGGCTTTTCACAGAATTTCCAGAACTGGCACCGAAAGCCAGTACGAAAATGCCAATTGATTCAGCCGATTCAAACACTCACCGTCGAATTCTAGAAATAGGGTGTGGTGTGGGAAATACAGTTTTTCCTGTTCTCCAGTACAGTCAAGATAAAAATTTATTTGTGTATTGTTGTGATTTCTCAGCTACTGCTATTGACATACTCAAGGAAAATCCTGAATACGACACTTCACGGTGAAGCAATTTAAAACCACATCTATTGGCTCTTATCTTGTATGCCTTCCAGTTTGTAATTATTGTCTTCTTAAATTATTCAGGTGCTGTGCCTTTGTCTGTGATGTCACTAATGATGACTGGAATCCTCCATTTGAGGAGAATTCTCTGGATATAATAGCTTTTATATTTGTTTTGTCTGCAATCAATCCAGAGAAGTAAGTTTATGTAAAAGTGCTGTTTATATTATGTAAGGAAATCTATTTGGTAGGTTTATACTGATGGCTTTCTACTGTGTTTCAGAATGCCCCATGTTGCAAAGAAAGCGTTTGATTACCTCAAGCCTGGTGGAATGGTTGTGTTCAGGGACTATGGGCGTTATGATATGGCCCAACTTCGTTTCAAAAAAGGCCGCTGCCTTGGAGACAACTTTTATTCAAGGGGAGACGGAACCAGAGTGTATTTTTTTACCCAAGGTATGTTGAAACAATCTGAAGGCTGAAGAAACTTGTAGATCACTGACATAAATGTCACTAATATGAGTCAAAATTTCAGAGGAATTGCGAGCACTATTTCAAGGGGCAGGGTTCATTGAAGAGCAAAATTTAGTTGATAGAAGACTTCAAGTAAACAGAGGAAGACAGCTAACTATGTATAGAGTATGGGTTCAAGCAAAATATCGCAAGCCACGTACTGAAAATACTTAGCTTGGTGTAGTTGGTTTTTTTTTTAAATATAAATTCATTAATTAATTAAAGCCAGTTTATGCATTCAGTTGAAACCAGTATATTTGCATATCAATTTTTAACAATATTGTCACAGATTGTTGCAACACACAACCATCAGCTAAACAGGTTACAGCATTACAGAAAAATACACTTCAAATGCCTACACTTTGAGAATAAGAAAGCCCTTACAAACTTGTCTTATTAAAATATCTTATTTCCAAACTGCAACATCTACAATAAATTTTGTCAGTGGCAACCAAATAGTTGTGGTTTCTTCCAAACTGTTTTGCCACATAACATGTGTAAATAATTTGGTTGTTATAGGTCATAAATACGTACTTCTAAAATATTTGCTGCAACTGAAACACACAGGTTAAGGTATCAGTCTGCACCACAATCAAATGATTCATTGGTAAATTGGGGACTTAATAAGCAAATCCTCTAATTTATACTCTTGCCCGGACATACCCAAGCTATTTTTCCAATAAGTTTGATTCGACTAGACAAAACACTAAGAGTGCATAAACATTTGATAAAGAAATAAATAATCTGTTCACTTGAAAAACAATCTCTTTTTCAAATGAAGAAAATGTAGATTGCTTGAAAAGCTCCATGTCACATGAGAATATATTGAATCAATTGGGATATAGTTTTATGAAGCTTGACAAAATTTATCAAAACCCAGCTGTAATAAGAGCCTTAGTAGATGATGACAAGAGCATTGGCACTCTTAGTTCATTCACATATGATGAAAGAAAGTAACATTATGAACACACTGTGGAGCAGCCTAAGAACTACCCTGTATACACAATAATGTACTTCAACAATTGAATAGGACTTACTAAGTAAGAAAGAGGAAGTACATGATAAAAAAAAAAGAAACATACAGAGTACACTAAAAAAATTCAAAAGCATTTTGTAAAAGAACACAAAATTAAATAAATATATAATCATAACATATTTTCCATAAAAAGTCTAAATCACAACAATTAGACACTTCATTGCTTTATCCTGTTGTACAGAAGATAGCTAAATACATACACATCACTTTTTCATCTACACAAAAAATAAATTTAAAAAACATTCAAGAGCACACTTTGACTGACTGAGTTATGCTTATGCAGCGTGCACAAAATCCACTTTTGTTTGAAGACACTCCCAGAGTCAGCCAGAACCATTTATGTTTACAAGCTTTGTTGATGAAAAGTCTGAGGTAAATTATGGGCAGACTACTCTTGTTAGATATGTAGTACTACTATTACATACATTACAGAACAGTCTTTCCCTACCAATATACAAGTTCAAGAAGAGGAAGAGCCTTTAAAAGAGTGCTTGCTGTGCACACTGCACTTTGCTCACAGCATGAAGATAATCACAAAACATTATACAGAACACAAATAACTACAAATTATTTACAAATAAATGGCTGTCCAAAAATGACATAGTCATTGTAATTTTACCAGAGACAAGTTGCGTACTAGTTTTTAAATGAAATACACCAGAGGGACTTCAAACAGGTGAGCCCTGCAGTCATATCATTAAACATGAGACAATGAAGGGTCATTTTAAAAGGTGGGAAGAGCAACAGTTTGAACTTAAATATATGGCATTAAAACTACAAATAAGCTCAGGTTTAAAAAGGGAAAAGAACAATATTGCACACAGATTAGCCCAGTTTTGTTTTAAAAAGAGAACACAAAGCAAAAAGCTCAAGCCATTGATTGTCTAATGTACTAAAACATTTGAAATCCAATTCAAAAATTTAGGCCAGAGTTGTATTAAAACAGATGAACTTTCAGTAGTAAATGATAAAAAAAAGAGTAACTACCCTCAACTGCACCAAGGATATGTTTGCTACCCAAACTACAGTAATTGTTAATTTGCCAAAATCTTGCAGATGCTTACAAACACACACAAAAGATTCACTGAGCACAATTAAAAGCTGATGAACACATAAAAGCTGTTACTTCTGGAAGACACACCATAAAAAGAGACCTAAGATGCCAGGATGGATAGCCCAGTGATCCCCTGCTCATCCAAATAGTTAATGAGATAAAAGTGAGAGCAACTATTGAAACACAAGTCTGACATGACTAATGAGAGATATGTATTGAAAAGTGAAATTTTCTAATAACTTAACTAAATATCACGGTAGAAGCACTTGTGACCAAATACTTTAACTAAAAACATACAGTATAGATTTTTCTTGTGAGAAGGGCAAGCTAAAAGGGCATGCTGAAATAAAAGGAGTTCCAGAACTGCCAGTAATACTGATGGTAGCCTCAGTAGCAAGTTAATAAAAGGGCTTTAAACAATGAGAAGCTGCACAAAATCTGTACAAGTATGGGAAAATGCATGTCTATGTTGCAGTGGTATTTTCCAATATTTCTACACTACAAATGGCAGGTCTCAAAAAGTACAAATAGCGCCATAAATGGCAAGACCCCAATATCACAATTCTCACATTTGCATTGTGAGACACCTCCTATTTCCACTAGGCCAGTATAATCAAATACATCACATACAACAAAATTATATTTTGTTATATCCTCTCAGGAAAGACTCAGTTTCAGACTTGACGAACATACCTACGAGTACTGACCTATAGCCTAAAAAGCTGAGAAGGATGTCTAAAAGTCAATTTTAGGTATGGTGAGGTGGACGGCAACCATAAGAGACAATCAATGTCCCTCGGACGATACAATACAGTGGCAGGATTTACATACTATTTAGATCCAACTTTTAAAATCATTCATAACATTCATTTTCTACAAAACAAAAAGGAAATTTGGTCTGCTAGCAGAGAAATATCAAAAGTTTCCACAGAACAACATACTGTCTCCAATGCCTATCTATAGTTTCAAATCACCTGCTGAATTCTGGCAAAGGTTTTATCAGGCCTTCATTGAAAGCCCGATGGACACTACTACAAACGAAGTGATATTGTGCCTGTAACAAGAGAAAAAGTATAAATACAACAATAAATTAACTAACAATAGGAAGGACATTTTATGATTGTTTGTTTTGAAATAGTAACTCACGGGTGTCTGTATCATGAGTGCTCGCTGGTCTCGCATTGCACGAGTGATATCCAGGGGATAAACTGGTTGATTAGCTTCAATAAGACCCATAGCAGTTTCCATTAGAATCAGAACTCCTGTTCTGCCGATTCCCGCAGAACAATGCACTATTGTGGGTTCTACCATTCCTCTCCGTGCAACTCGCACTCTTTCAGTAAACTCAACAAATCGTATCCAGTCCTCAGGGACCCCATGGTCTGGCCACGCCAAATACTGCATGTGGCTTATATCTCTCTCCTCTCCCGTCTGGAAAACAAGTAAAATATAACAGTTTCTAGAGGCATATTGTTGTAAAAATTGCTTGATCAAACACATGAAAGAACTCTCTGATACCTCAATGTGACGAAGAACAAATTCACGGAAGACAAAGCTTTGGGTTGAGTCAGTGATTTCGCTATTGCATGTCACTGTCAACTGATTTTCAAGATCCATAGTACTGCCTACTTCCGGCCAGTACTGGGCACACTTTGTTCTGCCTCTCTCAATGACAGTTGTTAACATTACTACTAAAGTTGTTTGTGCCTCTAGCACCATTTGCCAGAAATCTTGAACGGTGTTTGATAACGGACCTAAAAAATACATGGTAAAAAAATTTTCATTCACATTGTCAAGGAAGCAGATGCCGTATGAAAAGTTAGTATTTTGAGCTCATATCATACCTTGGCATGCAATGTACCGGTTAATGATTCCTGATCCAGGTATTTCCATATTTACATAATTGGCATTAATATAATCACCAGTGGAACCCCCAACTAGAATGACCCTAGTAGCATCATCTACAAGAGAAAACAATAAGAACAATTTTAAACATGAACAAACTGATAATTAGGAAATTACTGCCAAAATAATTTAGCTTACATGGAGAAATATCTCTATATCTATTCTTCATCTGGTTGTCAGACTTGCGTGCTTCATTTGCAGCAAGTTGTGGGTTTTTACGGTACAGCTGCTCAAATTGTGCCAAAAGTGCCCCACTGGCCAGGCCATCCTCCAAGAGGAGCATGGATTGTGCCAATGCATCTCCCCCTACCAGTGCCCCAGCTGGCCCCCCTGAGCCTCCTATGACATCTGGGACGTATTGATATGGTGGTTCCTCCTCCTCATGAGCTTCATACACAGCTACAAAAGACACAAGTTGTTCAAATTTTTAGTAAGAATCATTTTGAAAGTAAAAAATTATTATTTGTGATGTGAGTTGGAAACTTACCATTTGGTCTCACAGTCAGAACCAACTCGCCACAATGAACATCGCGTGACGCTCTGATAATGTTCACAACTTGATCATGTGTCATACCATTCACTTCTCGACCATTAATAAGCAAAACCTTAAGGAAAAAAGGTGGTTAAATTTATTACAGAACATCAGCATAACCGAGAGGCCTACTATTATGAAATTACCTGATCTCCTTCATTAAGTTTGGGGTAAGATCTATCAGCCGGAGTATTAGGAGCCACTCTTGAAACAAGTATTGGCATTCCTAAGTCTGCTCCTCCCTTAACATTGAATCCAAACCTTCCTTGCTCATCAGGACTTATTCGTATCATCACCAAGCCCTCTTCCGGAGGTGGCTGTAAAGGGGAAAGAAAAGATAAATTATTTTATAAGGTAAGAAGGAAAGCAGCAAAAATCTTCTATTCTAAAACATGTACCTGTGGTGGTTGCAGTTCAGTAAGACTAGGCATTTCAAATGTACTTGTTGTTGTACTACCATTAACCACTAGCTCAGGCTCAACTGGCTCTTCATCAACATATGTCATTGCTCTGCTAGAAGGAAGTGACGGAGTGAATGGTCTACCTATACGTTCTTCAGCTCTTACATCCAGGAAACCACCCTCACTAAAAAGTAAAACAAAAAAATTAGGGCGTAAGTGAATTTTAATTTAAGAGTCAATAACTGAAGTCAAAGGATAGTTCTCAGAACTTACTCATCAGAGGGATGAGAGGCTTCTCCCCAAGCTTTTCTGGGTTCACGGGATCCTAGTGAGGTCACTTTGTTGTCATGTGGTCTTGGAGTGCGAGTTGGTGCTGTTGGTAAAACAGCTTTGTCCTCAACTGGTGGTGGCACTGTTGTTCTAAATGGCCGTTTGCTTGGTGTCCTGTGACATAAATGAAACGATTAGGTAGTTCTTAACACAAGAGATTAGAGTTTAAGTACTGAAAAATGCAGAAAGGGGGAAAACAAAGACTCACCGAACAAAAGTCCTATCAACACGAGCTCGTTGCCTACCATCCTCAACTGTTTGAAATTCAGTGCGGCCTGAGTAAGTGAAACGTGAGCCAAGACTAAGTGGAAATCGTCTTGGTCTAACATGAGGTGAGTGAAGGCGAAAGAATGTATGATGCTCTACACATGATTTCCACAAATTTTTAGATGATCTATAAGTAAGCATGTTGAATCCAAGCAGAGTATCATAGTTTTCAGACTGAAAATTAAGAGCGCATTTGTTAAAACTAGTATCATCAAAAGTGGGCATGACATATAAAACAAAGACAGTCAACTTACTGGTTCCCTTCTCAGCTGGACAAAAAACTGCTTTCTTTTAAAAGACAATTTAACAATTTTGGACCAAGAAAAGGTATTAATCCTTATATTATTCTGGAAGACCACAAGACCCAATGATGTGACACCAAGCTGAATTTCTTTTCCTGAAGAATCCTGCTGCAAAACCAACTCAATTTTAGAAAGAGTAAAAAGAGATTTATGACAAAAAGATGATGCAAATAAATTATTTGATTTGATTTAATAAATGGCTGAGAATGGATAATGAAGACACTCACTCGAGCTCTATGTAAATCAACTCCATACATCTCCAATCGTTTCGCATGATCTAAGAAATTAAACTCTGCGTCGGCCGGTGTTTGACCCCTAAATTAAAGTATTGGTTAGATGAATTTGGATGCAATCTTTAAATTTCTAGGATAGTTAGAAATAAAATAGATTGTAACTCACTTATGAAGTTTGTGTAGCTCAGCAACCTTCTTTTCCATTTCTTCTGTTTGTCCTGACATGAGTTGAAGGTGTGATAAGTAACCAGACCCATGTTCTTCAGGGTGGTAGTCACCTAATTCCGCTGTAAAAGCAGGAATAAAAACATCATCTAAATGAACATTGAAAACAAACATTTTCCCAAATGAAGATAAGTAAAATTACATTGAGCAGTATAACTGGCAAGGAGGCAGGCTGTGCTAGGGGTGACTTGAAGCCTGCCCTGTAAGATATCTTGCCGAACTTGTAGATATAAATGATATCTTGTATATTCCTCTTGAAGTTTACTGGGGTCCGACACATAAAACTTAACTCGAAAATAGAGACTGCCACCTGAAAACAAGGGAACAAATTTTATACAGAGCAAAGAACCTTTGGAAACATATGAAAACATCAGGCATACAAAGAGTTAGCTTCTCACCCTTGATTTGTTTCTTGACAGGTTTAGAAGGATCAAGCCATCTCTGGAAGATTTTAAGAAGTCATGTATCAATTTAACAAGGTCCCCCCCTAAAATATTGCTAGGCATTTAGTGCGACACAAGAGAAAAATATTTTGATTACCATGATATCAGGATTGGGGGGCGTTGGTAAAACTCCATTGTCAGAATATTGTAGGCCGAAGTAATCTTTCTCGATGAGTTCCAGATGCTGGAACACCAGGTCCAACAAAACCTGGCCTTTAGCACGCTTCTGTAAAATGAACACACATTTGCTTGTAGGAACCATTTGCTTAACACGACACACTGCACAAATCATGGCAAAACAAAAAAAGTTTCTTGCAGAACCAGTTTGGTTTTAAGAACTTCGCTAGCTTACCTCCAACTGAAAGCAGTGCTGAGAGTCATCGAGAAATACCACAGTGGCTGTAAGGGTCTTCAGTCTACGGTCCCGCGCCAGCTCGGAGGCTCTTACGTTGTAAGTCCCGCTTGAACCACTGAAAGCCCGTCGTGACACGCTTTCAATCATCCTCCTGCGAGGAGTCGTTTGTTTTAACCTGAAGGAGGATCAAGTTCAGTGACACCCTTAACACAGGATAACAATCTAAATTAGGTGCTCAGAAGTCACCTGCATGCGTTCTTCTGGATGAGTAGAGATGCATGAAGACATGACGGTTATCGCATTAAGAACTGCATCATTTTAAGAAAAGAGCTCCTTCGCCTGTATGACAGAAAAAGACGTAGGTTTTTTTTTAAAGCAACAGGGACTTGCTAGAAACTGATGGAGAGAATACTGTGCTCTCAGACGCTACGCAAGAATCAAATATTGGCAAATGAATGATATAGATAAGCAATACAATATTAGACTATGATAGTACCAAAATAAATAAAAGGGTCACTTCTACCCTTGACAGGTATGGAAATAGATTATCTTTAAGGGTTATGACATTTCCACCTCAGTGAAACAATTGGTAAAAAAGCACATAAGACGAAGGATTACTATTTGAACGGCAAATGATGAGGAGAAAGTTGTAAATATAGAAATTAACGGAGTATTTGATAAATAAAACGAAGTTTGTTCTTTTCGTCTATTGTATGATGCAGTCGACGCCGTCCCGAACTTTTAACTTTCAGCAATTAATCACACAGCAAAGGTTTACTCGTATCTAATCATTCAGTTGACAAAGCTTGGTAGCCGGGTCCAAACATTAAACGAAGTCGAGGTAGAAATATTGCACTAACTTTTAAATACAACACAACGCACAGCGCTTCGCTCCTGCAGAAGCGTTCGTTCAGTTTTCAGTTCGGTCGTACGACTCGGAAGAAGAAGAAAGGAAGAAGATACCGATGACCTTTGTAGGGCGGTAGGTTTGAATTTCTAGACATTGCTCTCACCGAAAGCGGCCACCATGAAGTAGGACTTTTCCATGCGGCCACCAAAGAAATGTCATTCTTTGTAAATACTGAAATTGCAGGTGACGTGAGTGAAATGGGCTCATTAAGCGCGTCTTGCCGACTCCATCGGCAGGATTCTCGGCGATTATCGGATTTTTGATTTGTTTTTACCCATGAGGTACTGGATGGTCCTCACCATGTTAATGGTTTGTGTGGTCACGGTGTGGCAGTCTACTGCAGTGACTGATGCAGGTGGAGGAGGTGAAAAAGCAGGTAAAAACAACTACTAGATGATATATATAAACTAGTTTAATAACTTATAGATTAATGTTTGGTTGTTAACAAAAAAACAATGTTTTCACAACAATAAAAATACTCTTTAAAAAGCATTTAAAAAGTTCTGATCTTTTGAATCAAGTACTATGTCCATATCAGTATCGATTGAATCGGGTAAAGCAAGGCTCTGTTGTTCAAGCTGTTCTTGGAGTTGCAGACTTATCTGCTGAATCTGCTCTTCCTGTTCCTGTTTCAGCGCTTCCTCCTGAGTAAGGCATGTGGGCTCAGTCTTTGGTTCCACCTTAGAGAGCAGTAAGAAGAAATAATTTTAGCATAGAGGGAGTTATGGAGGCTGAGGAGAAATGCACAAAGCCAAGACACTTGTAAATTTCTTTCTCTTAAAGAAAGAAACACTTTGCTTGGAGGTAAAATAATAATTTTGAAACAAACCTTGCTTTTCGGAAATGAGGGGAGGACAGTGTGATAAACACAAAAAGCATCTTCTGCAATGTCAGGCAGTGGCTCCTTGCATTCACTGTCAGACCCAATCTTGCAGCCACAGGGGCGAAACAATACTTGGTGAGTGTCCTGAAGGATATGTTTTGGACAAAATTTGGAAACAGGAAGACTTCTGGCCCCACACTTGACACCACCCTCTGTATAGACACATTTAGGGAAAGGGGCTGGTCTCACATTCATACCATCTGTAACCTAAATATAGAAAACAAAGCTTTAGGTTTTTATTACAATCTTCATGTGTAATTATATTTTAATATTCACCAAAAAACAAAAACTAGACTTACAGAAGCTCTTCTTTCAAGGGCCTTTTTATGAAGAACTGCCTCCACACCATTTCTGCGGTGATAGTGATTTAAGGCTTTCAGTTTTTCATACAGTTTTTGCTCCCGAGAAGAGTTACGTGGTTGACTGCTTATGCTACCTACACAAACAGTAAATAAAAAGTATTAATATCTCGGACCTTCTTTAGGAAGAGGTTGCCAACAAATAATTTTACAATTAATTATTTTATTCCTTACATAATGATTCTTTTTCTCGTTTAAGGCTATGTAGATATTTTCGACGGCGTTCCCGAAGTACATGCTGCAGTCTACGAAACTGTTCGATGTACAATGACTGCAGGCGTATGAGTTTGTCCCTTGTGACCTGCATGGCTTCCTCGGAGGTATAAACACCCGCATGCCTGTATTATGATAAAATGAAAGTGTGGTCAGTGAAGACAAGACAAAAACTTGCATGGTAGAAGTATAAGAGCTAGAACATACTTTAGGAGATCTTCCTGCTGACTATCCACACTCTCAGCATCACTCGAGTCTGCATCAGCATCCCCTCCTTTCCAAGTCACATCCAACATAGCTGCATCAACATCTGAATCGGACTCACTTCCATAGTCAAGAACACGAGATGAGGACGCATTTATCATAGAGGCATCCATATCCACTGAAAAAATAAAGGACTATTGAAATATTTGTCTTAAATTGAACATAAGCTGAATATGAACTGCTGTCTCCACTAGAGAACTTACAGAAAGGATCGAGAGGTTCATCTGAGCTCTCCTCTTTCACAGCAGTGTTTAAATTTTGAGATGATGGAACATAATGACTTAAACCTGTTAAGAGAGACTCTGTGGAGGGGGAAGGGAAGTGTCGCAATGATGATTTTTGACGCTTAAGTTCCTCTTTCCTGGAATGGATGGAACATAATCTGGAGAAGAAAACAAACGAAATTATTCTAAATAAAGGTACTTATGGTGGACCAAAACTTGGACAACGGTTGTAAAGCATACCCATTGTTACGGCGGTCGCCTTTGTAAGCAGGCTTTGAACAAGGTCTGCCGTTAAATGCAAACACATAACTACATGGTTTGTATGGTGCTGCTTTATCTTCAAGGATGTGTTGCATACAGTAATGATAACCGTCTAATCTTGACAAGGAACAATCATATTGTTTATAGCGGCATTTTGCATCTCTCAGTGCTCTTTCAGCTGCCGCTTTAGATAAAGGCGCTGGAGGCGGCTGCTGCGACTGTTGATGACTACTTGATCCCGACATTGTATGATGTGGGCGTTGTCAGTCCTTTACATGATTTGGAGGACACAAGGCAGGAGCTGTAGGCAAAATACAAATTCAATCATTGGCGGAATAAAACTAACAATGTGAATTAACCAATGTCTGCTATGGTAGAGTCAATCTAGCAGTACGATTTGAAGACTCTAACTTCTGTATGCACATTTTAAGACACAACAAAACGGAGTATTGTTGAAAACTACACAAAATACATATGCTTCATGCTACTGTACCTCAAGAGCACATTAAAAACTCAAAGATGACAAAATTTGGTTTTTGTAATAAGAACGAAACAGGACGAAATATGAGGGTACTTCAGACCACTGATGGCTGCTGGCTACAGCTGAACCGAAAATCTACTTGAGCAAAAGCTAAGAGGAGATTTAACAGTCAGAAGATCAAAATAACGAAGCCAAACATTAACTACACCCTTTGTGGTGAGTGGCCATCTTGATGGTGGCTTCTTCGAGCGTTCTCTAGCCAACCTGTGAGCGCAAAATAAGTACCTGAAATCGTCAGATCACGTAGTTTTGGCTAACTTTCAACCTAAAGATTATATTTTGCTTAGTTTTTGGTCCATCTAGGACCAGCGTCACATATGGGAAAAACGCTCTTAAGGGCTAGAAATTTGTAGTTGGCGAACTTGGACTACACTGCACTTGCTACTATGAGAATATTTTGAGTCAATTACTGAAAGTTTGAAATTTAAATTGTACGCTACCTTGTTACTTTATTTTATTGTTACTGTTGACTTTTCATTGATTTTCAAAGTATTTTCTGCTGCCGATTAAAGCGTTTTAACCATGATGGTTTTAAACCAATCATTCTTGTCGCAGCCCGTGCCAACTCCTATTATAGATAGCAGAAAGTTTGTTTTGCCCTTTCCCAGTCAGATTTTCCAGGTTGAATTCTCTCCTTATGAATGGTCACAGAATCTTTTGTGCATCGCTTTAAAAGACAAAATTGTTGTTGGATCATTTTCCATACAGGTTTGTTTGCTGATGCTGTTTCTTGAAAATTATTCAGTGAAGTGATTTGCATAACCTTCCCGGCGGCCGGCTACCGGTCTATCAACATTGCTCCTTACAAAAAAAAAATGTGCTCTATTTTTCAGGAAGAAGATGAGGGTCAGGAGAGCGTCGAGCTCAGTGTTATTCACGAATTCGCGCATGGAGCAAGAGTTCATTCCCTGGCATGGAGCCCGGAGGCATCTACCAACGTTTTGCCAAAGTTATTGTGCTTCTACACCGCAGATTCTGAATTTAATGTTTCCTACTTCGACAGTACTCAAAATGCAAATTCATGTGTGAAGGTACTGATATCAGTATGGGTTTAAAACATTTCAATCTAATAACTTTTTTTTTTAAGGACATCTTTACTAACTTTCTGTACTTAGGTTCTTGGTAATCATTCAGACTATATCAATGCATTGGCCTGCGACCCTGAACGGAACTATCTTGCATCAACGAGTGATGACCACACATGCAAGTTGTGGCCCTTGAAGGAAGGAGCGGAAGATATAACATTCTATCTCACATCCCCAGGTATTTAGTATGATGAAATAAGAAATGGCATTTTAAACCCTTTTTGTGATTTATATTTTGTGTTACATTTCATGTCTATTCAAATTAATGTTTGATCTTCCTAACTGTCAGGAATGAGTGTACGCTGGCACCGACAAGAACCTTCCAAACTTCTTGTCGCCGAAAAATGTGGCCTCATCCGAATGTACAATATTGAAACCCAACGGGCCATTTTATCTTTGGATGCTGGTCACTGCCCATTAATGGCTGCTGATTGGTCTCCCAGCAACTGTAGCAGAGTAGGCTGTGTAGCTGGCGGAGACTTGGTCATCCGAGATGTAACAGCTGCCAGGTAACGCTTATTGTGTGTGTTCCCCTTAGCAAAATCATGTAATTCATTTAGAGTATCCCCTAACTTTTCTCTTAAATTTCTGTTTGAACTAACAGTTCTCCTGTAGAAACAAGACCCATTCATATGGAAGGTGGAGTGTACATGCGATTTTCCCCCGCAAGTGAAAATCATCTGGCTACAATTGGAAGAAGTGATCACCTATTGAAGGTTTCTCATGTAGGCTCAAGTCAACCTCTGCTCACTTCGACCCTTCAGGTAAATATTTTATTTTCTCTGGAGTGCGTGTTGCTATTTATTGGGTCTAATTCACTTCTTATGCATTAATCGCTCCCTGACTTTTGTGCAGGTTTCAGGCGGCCTTTCCTGGCATTATAGACTCCCATTGGTTTGTGCTGGTTCAGACCGGAAGTTGATCATTTTTAGAGTCCTGACTAAGTAATGTGTTGGCAGTAAGCTTCTGTCTTATTTTGTATGTTATGTACCTTCAACTGCAATGTCCTAAAAATATAACTGTATAATTCACAAAATTGAGGACCTTTTTCTTTAACCAATAATCATAACTTTATGAGATTTCTGACTATTTATTTAACATATTATTCTACTTTATTGTTGGAACCAGCCGGGGAGTCCAGGCCTATATTGATATTTTTCTGTTAGTGCTTTTTTAGTCTTCTCATTATCCTTTTGACTCTGCTTCAGCAGTTCCATTCCAGGCTTAAGAGGCACGTCAGGGAAAGTGAACTTGAAATTCTTCTCCTGTATGGATTGGGAAAAAAACAAGTGAATTAAATCCTATCTTAGTTTTTCTATATTCAACATGAGGTACCTCTGAATTCTGAACTACCTTCTGAACTACTTACCATGGTTACATAAGCAACTTTATAATCATTTTCTTTTGTGACAAATCCCTTAATATTTTTCACAATATTACCTGCACAGTAGAATCATGATAGTGAATTAGAATCTGGAAGACTTCGTATGTGAAGACATCATAATGATTTCCAACTTTACCGACCGTTTTTCATTTCTACTTTGGCAGCAACAACCGGAAGATTATAGATTTTTTTCAAATAGTTTCGGACATCATATTCAGTCATTTCGTTGGAAACGTGAAAGTGCACAACATTAGGTGGAACTTCTTCCTTGGGTTTCACTACCTTCATCCAGAAATTCGGTAAAAACACTCTGAGCTGAGGATTTCCTCGCTGGTAAAGAGGGTACCTACAAAGTAAAGAAGTCAGTACATATTATTGTTAAATAAGAAGTTAAGGGTCATGTTTGCCATTTTCATTGGCTGTAACAACCAGAATAATTTAGGTGAAACACATGTAATATTATCACCCCTCAATTGAAGATTAGGTTAGGATGAGGGCATTATCGAAAAACAGGCAAATGCTATAAAGGGAAACGATATGAAAGGTTTCTTACCATCTCGTTGACATAGTTCCGAAATGCGTAGTGTTGTTATCGCAGACGTTTGTCTAAAACAGCGTTCGCTAGTGTGGTCTCAACTTTTTAAAAACATGCCCCAAACAAAGCTAAGCCGTCTGCTGGACGTGCCAATAAGCAGACAAATGATTATTTGCAGTCTGAATGGTGTTGGGAGGGAAACATCCCACTTTTTATAGTTTTTTTTTGTTTATGAGATGATTACGAGATTCGTTGCAATCAACCACAGTCGCAGTAAAGTTTCATACGACTTTTTGTAATGCGATGACAGGACGTCGACTTGGTTTAGCAGCTGTATGTTGCCTGCCTGTCGAGTACTTCCCCCCACCAGTTTCCGAATGCTCGTCGGTGAGCGGTCCCGGTCCGCCTCTGCTCTCCGCTCTTGAAGGCACGGCGGCACGACCGACCCAAACGAACCAACTCAGTCTGGTTGAGTCGGCGGCACGGTGAAGTCCGGCGTGTTTGTATCGCGGGCCTAAGTATTTGTTTACCAACAGTGCCTTACCCAGAGCGAAGTGACGGAGGGAATGTCAAGCACACTTGCGCCACCTGCAATGGTTAGCCTGGTGGATCTTAAAATGCAGTTCTGACCTGCTGTTAAACTATGTTTTCCTGAAGAAAATGTAGTGACGCTCGGGGTACACAGTGTTCTCCTTTTCTGCTTGAAGTATATTTCGCGTTTCCGGAAGTGTTACTAGTACATACTTGGCGGCAGTAGCCGTTTTCTATGCACAATGGCCAGGCTCACAGAGGAAATGGTAGTGGCAAGAACAAAACAATCGGATATCGGACAAGTGACGAAATTAAACTGCTGGTAAGTTTACTTCAAATGTCCTTTTGCAGCAATATTTCTACTATTTGTGTGGTCATTCATTGCTCGCCCCACTTATCTCTGCCATTATTTTTGCTCTTCGTCTTATCCTGATGACTAATCCACTCGACTCGATGCAGTAGTGGAGAAAGCCTCTAACTGTGTGTCTTGCGCAGGGGAAGCGAGCTGTCAGACGTCCGCCTCTTGAGAAGAATGCAAAATGTGGAGGTCCTGTCCTTGAGGTAAGGGAGAGCCGCTTTGTTTTCCCCAAATGATTTGCGTTCGGCCGCGTCGGCGTCGCCAGGCGGTGTCTCGCGCTGAGTGATGCACTTGGAGTGCCTTCTCGTGCCAATGTCAAGCGTCCCCCCCTCCCCCGCGTGCATCGTGCATCCAGGAACAGCTGTCCGGCCGGCGTGCAAGTGGGCGCTACCCTCCCCCCAATCAAAACCGTGAAGCTGTGCCACCGCGAGCGATGACGTCATGGGGCCCAGGGCTTGCCCAGGGCTTGCCCAAGCTTGCCATAGCATTGTGGGGCGTTGTTGCAAAGCACTGCGAGGCGTTGCGAAGCGCGAAGGCCGTGAGGCCCGGTCAACAGACACGCTCCACGGACACGGCCGATACACTCGGGCCTGGGCCTGGAACGCAACCGAAGCCGTGCCGAAGCCGCCGGCCGTGCGGCTCCAATTTGGCGCGAAGCTTGAAGCTGGCTGGGCAGGCGGCAAGCGGACGGCAAGCGGAGCCGCCCTCCGAGGCCTTCCCTCGAGGCAAAGGGAGGATGGCACGGAGAACGAGAAAGCCAGGCTGCTGTGAAATTTGCCGCCAAAAAGTGACGCGTTTTTGTCGCGTTTCCGTGGTTTCCGTCCTCGCTTCCTTTTTCCTTGCCTTGCCCTGCCCCCCGTATTGATCGCTGGATTGATTCACCGACAGTGGCCTGGACTGTGCCCCCGCCCCCCGGCCTGACAACAACAAAGAAAGGCGGCCCATTCAAGTCGGTGCACTGCATGCAGTGCATGCACTGCATGCACGCCACCGCGACCTGCAGCACTGCCGGCAGTCCGCGCCGCACGCACACCACAGAGTAGCACAGGTAGCGCCCCGACTGGACTGGAGACTGGACGACGACTGGACTTGCCGTGGGCAATCTCCACATCGCGGGTTCGCCGCGCGCGAGCTTGGAGCGAGCTTCCGCCGCCGGGCTGCCTGGGGCAAGGCAGGCAAGGCAGGCAAGGCCTGGGGCTGCCCCCGCGTGCCGCGCACGTGCGCTGACCCCAAAAGATGACTCATTGAGTTCATCACGCGGTACGGGGTGCCGCGCCGCCCCAGTGGGGCCCTGGGCCCGGCCCCGGGGGGGTATCGACCCACTACTGGCGGGGCCCTGCAACAACGTGGTCGCCCCCCTGTCCCCCTCGCCAGGAACCCCTTGCCCGGCCCTGCTGTGCCGCGCCGTGCCGTGCCGGCAGGTAAGGGAAGGCTTCAGGCCGGCCTCCTCAAGGTTGACTTGGCCGACGACCGGGCGAACCGCGAACCGTGTCCACCACGGTGTCCACCACGGTGTCCACCACGGTGTCCACCACACTGCGACGGGCGTGGCGTGCCCGCTTTGCTTTTCGCTGTGGGATTTTTCTTTTCTCTCTTTTCTGCGGTTCTCGCACTAGTTGAGCCGCGGGACGCTTTGTACTGTACTTGTTTTGAAACGGAGCGCGGAGGGGAAAGGGGAGTTCATTGTGCAGCCCAGCACTCCGCCGGCATTAGTTCTCACGGCTCATTTTGCTGATTGGTCGTGTGCGAGTGCCACGGTGGTTGGGCTGGGCTGGGCGAGGCCGCGAGCGAAGCTTCGGAATGGCATGGCATGTCTGTTCGCGGAGCACAGCGCACAGAGCACCCCGGCGCCGGCCAGTGGATGGCCCCAAGCGCCCCGCCCCGCCACGGCAACACGCACGCGAACAGACGCGAACCCGGCGCTCCCAGTGTGCCGACGAGCACTTCGCGGCTCGCAAAAGCTAGCAAGATAAGTTGGATCAAGTCGGGGTGGACCGGAGGGATAGTACACTACCGAAGTGGAGTGTGTGTACAGTGCAGGAAGTGTGAATGGACCCGCCGGGAGGTGTGCGCGCGCACTCACACAAACGCCGCTGCATGCTCGGTAAGCCAAGCCATATTCTGATTGGCTGCCGCGGTGCCGGGGTGGCCCGGCCAAGGGCCCGGTCCTCGCCCTCGGCAGCCCTCTGGTCTATTTCCGTCCCTGCGCGGCACTGCTCTAGGCACTGCGGGGCGGGCAGGTCGGCGGGGCAGGTGGCAGGGCACCGCGACGCCGTGACGCCGTGCATCTGGGTCGACGCGGCCACGCCACTACGCCACTGCGGGACGGGACGGGACGGCAGTGAGCACGCCTAGGGCCGCGCCAAGCGGCCAAGCGGCCAAGGACCGATCGACGGGCCGCGCGTTTCGTACCCTCGGCGACGGAGCGCCGCTAGAGCGCCGTGAAGGCAGGCAACGCAGCGCGCCGCCACGCACGGGCGTTGCGCAGGGATGCCTACCCGCTGTCGCGCGGGCGCTCGCTCAGCAAGGCAGGCGAGGCAGGCGATGCAAGGCGCTCCGCTGCCGGGATCAAACGGCGAGAGAAGCGCTCTGCGATCGGCGGCGAGTGAGTGGTCGAGGCGGGAGCTTGGCGCGCACGCACGCAGGCTGCACGCGTGCCGCGCGCGTGGATCGAGTCCTGAAAAGGCGAGCGTGTTTCAGAGGCGGCACACGCGGCCTTTAAAAGGGACACTGGTTCCAGTTCTCGAGAAGAAGCGTGTAAAATCGGATTGGCCATCTATCTGTAAAGCAACAAGACGAGTATGGGCCGGGACTGGCTGCGTCGCGGCGTGCCGGGGCGGGGCGGGGCGGGGCGGGGCGGGGCGGGGCATCCAGGACAGGACTAGGGCAGAGCTCTGAATGCCGCGCACGCCGCGCACGGCTCGGCTCTACTTCTTCCTGCCTCGCCGAAGCCACGCCGAAGCACGCCGAGCCTCTGCGAGGAACGCAGACATGGCAGGTGTCAATCAGACAGGAACGACGAACGGCGGCGGGCCGCGGCATTTTCCAAGTCTGTAAACAAACTAACGGTGGACAGGGCAAGCGTGCCTCGCTCGCGTCGTAAACTGTCGATGAAACGCACGCCACTTTTCGCACTCTTTTTCAGCGATGCCGCACCTAAAAAAGAAAACTCCATGACGAAAAAACCAGACCGGCGTTCTTCTATCCTCCCGCGAATTAACGCCGCGGTCTCCGCGGAGGCTGAGGCCGCTGAGGCTCTCAAGTCTCGCGAGTCGCACGCCCACGGAGAGGCCAATTTAAAGCACGCCCGGTCTTTTTTGCGCTCGCCGGCTCGTTGTGTGAGTGCGTGTGTGCCCGCCTGTGTGTGGTGTGTAACGGGACCCTTATTATGCCTCAGAAGATTCTCCGACGGACGTCTCTCGCCAACCTTTTCCTCTCCTCTCCTTTCCGCGGTCGAAAGACCGCCGCGCCGAAACTATTTGCTTGTTCCTCCTTCCGCCGCGATGCGGCCGACAAAAGAATTGTTGCCGTTTTGTCGAGGCGCCGCTGCGCCGCTGCGCCGCTACTGCACGCGCGGGCGAAATAATGCAGGCAGGACAGTGAACTCTTCCCGCCGAAGGCGCCGAAGCGGCGAGGGCGGGCTGCGGGCTTTGCCTGCCCGGGCGACTTGAGTCCGTCGCGGTCGGTCTCGCACGGCGACACGGCGACACGCGGCCGCGTGCAGGCTCGGCCGTGTGTGTGTGTCGCAGCTCCGCTGGAAAGACAGGGACTCCAAGGAGACTCGCTCGCTCCGCGGTGTCCTGGCCCGCCCTTGGTCCGCCCTGCAGGCTGACGCCAAACAGTGTGTCGTCACTCCGTCTCTCTCACACTCACGGCACGGGGCGGGGCGTCCCGTGGGAGTGCGAGAGAGACACGGCGACTGCAGGCTTGCTGGCCGGACGCCGAACTACGGGCCCGGCCTCATGGGCCCGGCCCACGCACGCCGATCCGACTCGATTCGGCGCCACGGCCAGTTGTCGCTGCCTCTGCCGGCCGAGGCGGGGCGAGGCGAGGCGGCAAGGCCCTTCACTGCCACGTGTTCTCGCCGTCCTGGTGTAAACCAGTGTAAACATTAAACGCGGCAGGGCCACGCTGCCGTCCGTTCCGACCGAGCGGCCGATCCGTCACTGGGATTGTCGCCGCCGCCTGGCCGATCGCGCGTGTTTGAGTGCACTAATGTCTAAGCCGCGGCGCCGCTGTGTGGGCTTGCCCGGCCCGTCCGGCTTGCCCTCTAGCCTCCAGCGACGCCCTGGACTCGGGCGAATCGTGGCGCCCGGCCCGCCCTCTCCCTGTTCCTGGATGGCCGAATCGCCGGGCCGTGTGACGGACGAGCTGAGTGAGCGTGTGTGTGTGTGCGCCTCTTTGTCGTGGTTCGCGGTGTAACAAGTGGGCGGGGCGTGTGACTCAGCGCGACACTGTGGGACACTGTGGCCGTGTGCAGCGCTGTAATCGCGCTCACACCGCAGCACCGCCCGATGCCCCTGCTGCCCCTGCTGCTGGATACTGGAAGCGGCGGGCATCGGCAGGCGGGTGGCATCCCACGCGGTGCCGCGAAGGCACCGAAACCGCGAACGAAAGCTAAAGGCGCGTCCACAGTCCACGCGTCTCCGACAATTCTTTCCTTTTGTCGATCTCTTTTGTGCGGCGCTCGTTCCTCGTGATGCGCTGACGATGACGCATGCTGCTCGATAGGAGATGGCGTCGGCGGCCCCCAAGTCATCGGCTGGCGGCCTGGCGGAGTGACTGCCAGGAGGCGGCATGAGACAGGCAGTCGAGTAAGCTCTGTCGTGCCGGCAAGGCCTGCCTGGCCTGCCCGGACTCGCTCCTTACTGGGCGGGGAGCGGCCAAGCGGCCCGCGTCGCCCCCCGCCTCCGAGACCCCCGCCTCCGAGACCCCCGCGCTCCTCGACGCCCCGCTCGTGCGCCACGCCCCGCCAGGCCGCCGCGCTGGACTCGCAAGGACTTGGTGTGGGCGCCGGCACGCCGGCACTGCCGCCAGCACCTACCAGCACCTCATCGCCACTGACCCTTCCTCCTCCCCGGCCTCCTCCTCGGCCTCCTCCTCGCCGCGGCCTGCTGTCCGCCTCTCTGTGCGTCCGCCAGTCTCGCGAAAAGGGGGCGCGAAGCTTTCAGTTGCGCTGCTGCACTGCTGCACTTCGTAGTACGTAGTACTACTCGACACTGGCGGGGCGCCAATCGGGTCCCCCCCCCCTCCCGGGTTCGGACATGGAACGCTGTCGGTCGCGTCGCGGCTGTCACGGCGGCACATGTCCGCACATGTCCCGTGTCGCGGCTACACCTGCTTCGCGCTTCGCGGCGGCGGCGGGGCGGGGCGGGGCGGCCCGACACTGCGGGGGCTACGTGCCCCCTCCCCTCCCCCTGGTCTCCAGCAAACTCCAGCAGGGCGGTCCCAGTTTCCAGCCTCTGGTTCCAGCCTGGTTCCGGCTGGAGGGCGGGCCGAGTTTGGGCCGCCGTGGCGCCGGCCTGGCAGCACTCGGCCTTGGACGCGGCGCGGCGTGGCGCGGCGCTCGCTCTGTGCATATATATGTCGGGGCGGGGCGGGGCGGCCTGCTGCCTCCTCTTCCTTTGGCTTGGCGCCATCGATTCCAACGACAACAAATGTTTGTCTCTCCCTCGAGATGGAGACAAGACGACCTGGAATCTTCTATTGTCATCTGGTTTCGTTTTGCTCCACGCTGTGCCCCATGTGGCAGAGCCAGGGCTGTGCCAGGGCAGCGTGGCGGTGGGGACGAGGCCAGCCCTGGCCAGAGAGCGCGGTTCCGCGAAGCGCTAACGAAGGGGCTTGATTGCGGGCACGGCCGGGCACGGCGGCATGTTGATGATGTTGGGCAGGCCCGGCTCGGCCCGGCGGCACGCGAGCGACGCTACGCGACGCGGGGCTGCACTCTGCTGCACTCAGCCTCGCCCAGCCGATCGAGCCGAGCCGGTGCAGCGGATGCGCGGGGCAGGGCAGAGCGGAGCGGGGCCGCAGATTGGCAAAGCGCTGCGCCGGCACGCGAGTGTGGTGGACCGGATCAGAGTGGCGATGCAGGCGATGCGGGCGAGGCGACGGTCGTCCAGGCCGATTCAAACATTGCTCTCATCCCTCTGTCTCTCTCGCTCCCCCGTGGACCCGTGGACCGCCCCACGAGTGCGAGCGAGACGGGGCGGCCAAAGCGGCGGGTGCATCGGAGTGCGGTATCGGGCCTGTTGGCCTGTTGCACGCAACGTTGCAGCGAGGGGCTTATCTTGACCGGGCCGAGCGGTACGGTACGGCACGGCACGGCACGGCACGGCACGGCGCCGCCGACAAAAGGATCGGGCGGTCGGCGCGCGATGCGCACCCTGCACACAGTGCACTGCGGAAGCGGCGGGGCGGCTCGCCCAAAAGCAGTATAAGCGCACGGACACGGGGCGCACCTCGCAGAGCAGTAGCCAGAGCGAGTAGAGCGCTCACACGCGCGGTCGTAGATAGCGCCTCCAAGGGACGGACGTGACTCACGCACGCCCCGCCCCGCCCCGACGGTCGCGGCGTGCTCCAGGACGGCTCCAGGTCGCCTCCAGGACCCCTCCAGGACGGCCCCAGGACGGCCCCAGGACGGCTCCAGGATGGCGGTAATGCCGGGGCAGTGCGGCCGGAAGCGAGGAGACTGGTGCGCTGCATCGCCGCCGCAGTGCCCCCTCCCCCTCCCCCTTTTCTCTTCCGGACCAGCGCCAAGTCGTTTGTGCACTGGGCTAATCACTGCAGGGGCCGGCGCTGGAGCCTGGCCGGCGCCTGCTTGCCCCTGCGGGCTCGTTCCGAGTTCCGAGCAACGCTTCGTCGCTCGCCGGGCTCGCCCACTCACTCGGGCGGTGCGAGAGAGACGGAGCGACGGTGGCGGTAGTTTTGGAGTGAGCCTGCTGAGGCGCCGGCGAGGTAGGCAACGCTTGGCGGCAACGCGCGCGTGTCTGGCGGGGCGGCCCGCCCTCCGTCCTGCAGGCTGAGTCGCTGGCTTGCCCGTCAGTGGCTTGGCGTTCGCGTCGTTCGCGGCCAGGCCGAGGGCCAGGCCCGCCAGGCCCGACCGGTGCTTTGCCTGCTGCTTTTCTCTCCCCGCGCGATGCACTTCCTTCTCGCCTGTCTGTCTGTCTGCCCGTCCGTCCGTCTGCTCGGACTCTCTCGGCGCGCAGTGCATGCAGCAGTGCAGTGCAGCGGCCCCCTTTGCATTGCGGAGGCACGTTCGTCCCGAAGGAACTCGGCACGCCACGCCACTGCCAGCCCAATCTCGCGCGCGGCCCTGCGGCCCTGCGTCTGCGTCCGGCGGCAGCGAGGCGGCAAGGCACGGCGGCACGGCGCAGTGCGACGCCGCAAAGGGCCCTCCGCGGGGCGTGACGTGGCCGCGACGAGGCACCGCGGCGAGGCTCCACGGCGCTGGGCCGGCGGGGTCCTTCCTCGGCGCGGCTTTCACTCCGCGGTGCTCCGCCTTGCCTTGCCCTTCCTGCCGTGCCCCGCCTTGCCCTGCCCTTCCCGCCGCAGCGCCGCAGCCTACCGCTACACTGCCCAGCAGGCTGGCACGGCCGCGGCGGGCTGGGCGGGGCGGCACTTAGCCGCCAAGCACCGCCAAGCACCGCGTTGCGACGCTGCACCGCCACGCGAGCCTGTCTCGCTCCCACCCACCAGGACCTCCGCCAGGACCGCCAGGACCCGCTCGGGACACCTGGCGGGATTGACAGGCAGGGCGTTGACACCGGCGTCGATCTCGGCCGCGCCCCGTCCAAGACAATCGCCTCGCCGAAACCCCAACCCTCCCGCGCTCAAGTTTTTAATTGCGTGACATAACTGCAGCACGCAATGATCGCGGTCGAGGGCAGTGACGCAATGCCGGCACTAATGATAATGGTTGGCGATGCAATTTGGTGTGCCGCTGGTGCCGCGCGCCCCGGTGCCTTCTTGTTCCTTGTCGGTGGCGGCCAGGCGGGCTGGCGAGGCTCGGCTGGAGCTGGCCGTAGAGCCAGCCGAGTGCAGCGAACAGCGAATTTGGATGAAGTTACGTGCCGCGGTCCGCGGTGCCGGCAATGGCTGGCAAGCCGTGATACGGCAAGGAGATTGCCGTGGAGATGGAGAGGGAGAGACAGTGCCAGGGGAAGAGCGAAGGCCTGGCAAGCAAGGCCACTTTCTAGCGTCTTTAAGCATAGACGGTGAGCACACACCGCCAATTCCGCCGGCACTGCCCCGGCAGGCCGGCAAGCCGACAGGGAGAGCCGGAGCCAGCCACTTGGAAGGGGCCTTGGCTACTTTAGATGGATCGAACACCGCGGCTGCGGCGGGATCGCTCCGCAGACGCCGTCACCGAGGCCGACGAGGCCTCCCTGGCGGTGGACGGACGACGCCGCGCAGTGCCCCGCGATGAAGAGGTGCCTGCAGGCCTGCCCACGAATCGCCGCGGCCGCGAAAGTGCGTGGGAGAGCTGTCAAGTGGCACTTGTTCGTACCGGTGCGACTCACACGCAGATGAAGGCGCGTCGCGTGTGAGTGTTGTGGCTGTGTGCGTGAGGCAAAGGGGGGGGAGTGCGGGGGCGAAGCGCGGGACTAGTTGCTAGCGCGTTATGGGCACTCTGTCTCGGCAGAAAGAGAAAGCCCAGTGCGGTGCGGTCGCTGTGGGAAGGAAGATTTGGGCGGGCCGGGCCTCGCCAGGGCCTCGCCAGGGCCTCGCCTAGAGACGAGTCTAGAGAAGGCGTCGCTCAGAGAGGCCAATAGCTTGATCAAAGGTGCATGTCGTCGTATAACGTCAATGGAGCAGACCACTGTAAACCGAATGCCGCTTGGAGCTGTGCGTGCGGTGCTTATTGGGGCCCGAGGGACGGGGCTCCAATCGGCCCCACTTCTGCATCTGCACACTCGAGCCGCAGCGCGCGTAGACCGAGGCGTAGACTCTCCGGCGCGTCGGGGAGACGCGGCGCGCGGCGGCCGGCGGGGCGTCCAGTTTCGTGTTTACAACGTCCGCGACTCCGCGGCAAGTCCGTGGGATGGACCTTGACTCGAGTTGCTCAATTTACGGATGCCGCCCCCTTCCCCCTCTTCCCTCGCTTGCCCGGCGCGCGGTGCAGCAGGTGCGTCCGAGAGGGGGAGGGGAGGGGGAGGGGGAGGTCACACTCTGTTGGCGCCGACTCCGCGACTCCGCAAGTTAGGGCGAAACAGACACCCGCTGACCCACGCTAAGCCTTACCCACCTTCTCTGTTCGCAGCGTCAACAAGATCCGGTCGCTGGAGGACTTCCAGCACTGCCGCAACCTGGTGGAGCTATTCGTGCGCAAGAACGAGATCGCGGACCTCAACCAGATCCTGTACCTGCAGCACCTCCCCAAGCTGCGGAACCTGTGGCTCGAGGAGAACCCCTGCGCCAACGAGGATGAGTGCGTACCCAGTACTCAGAGCGAACCGGGAGAGCGGGATTCGAACCCTCGACCCGGAACGGAGCGCCTGCGAGCAGCGCGATGCGCGCCGCGCCACGCCGGTGTGCGGCGGGCTGGCCTACCCGCTCTGCTGGCAGGCGCTTCGAAAGCAAGCCGCCTTTTTCCGCTCGGCGCCTTCTCGGCCTTCTTGGGCAAGCCGGCAAGCCGCTCGCGAGTCGAGCATTGCGTTTACGAGCCCGTCGTTAAAGGCGAGGCATGTGGAGTCGAGTGTACTGGCGCACCGGCGTAGCGCAAGGCAAGAGACTAGATACCCTTACAGCTGCTCGGCTTCCCTGAAGCGGCGCAGCGGCGCTTGGGCTATTAAGTGCTGTCCCCTCTCCCCTCCCCAGTGCCCCGTCTTGGCAACGCGTCGCCGCAAACTCTAAACTCTTTCCCTTTGCAGGTACAGGTACACGGTGCTGCGGGCGCTGCCGAGCCTCAAGACGCTGGACAAGGTGCCGGTGCAGCCCGAAGAGGTGCAGGACGCGATGCGACGCGGCAGGGACTTGACGCACCCCCAGGACCCGCAGGACTCGGAGTACTGGGAGCCCCAGCCCCAGAACGACAGCCAGAGCCCCCTGCGGGACTGCAGCCCGCCCCCTGCAGCGCCTGTCGCGTACCAGCCGCAGCGCACCGAGGTACGCGCAGCGCGCAGCGCGCACTGCCCAAAATGTATTTTTCTTGCTAAACATTTTATTTCTTATTTTTTTGGTACAGAATTTTTGAACGTTTTGGGCTTTTTATTTACTTTCTGACGCGATTAAAATGTTTAACTTTTTGGATTAATCAGACTTGCTCCGTGTAAATTAACACCCATGATAAAAAGTAATTAATCGTGGTACTGATCGTCACGATAGGGTAACTCTCTAACTGGATGTATTTTCAACTTTTATTTCACAGTGGCTGTTTTCAGTCTGCCTTACTGTACTCATTCCATCCTGCATTTAATTCTGTGTTTACCATTATCTTAAAAAAGCTTGAGGTCACTTACTGGCATAGCTGTGTCTAACATCAGAGCAACGACACGACACACCCTTGCGTAGAAAGCAATCGCCCCTTTTTTTGTTACCAACATAACATTTTTGTTGTCACCCCTGTTCATGCTTCCTCATTACTCCATCGTCGCCACCAGCCGCAACAGGCAGCGCCTCAGCAGCCGCCGCAACACTCCCCTCCGGCCGCTGAGAAGCAGCAGCCACAGCAGCCCTTGTCCGAACCACCCCGCACGCCGCAGCAGCCGCAAGCACCAGACTCCACGGGGGCGGAGGACGGCCGAACCGGCGAAGAGTCGTCGGCCTCCCCGAGCTGTCCTCCTGCCCGCCCCTCCAACTCCCCACCCTCCACCGTCTCCCCCGCCCCACAGCCCAACGGCCCCCGTAGAACTGTGCAAGCCCCCGTTCAGTCATCAACGCAGCAAGCGACCCAAGGCTTGGGCCCAGTTCCCCAGAGCCAGGGCCCCGTGGGCCAGGTACTGACACATCTTTCTTCTTCGGTCAGCTTTCGACATTTGCAATCCCTTGCCATTTCCCCCCTACTCTTTACTCTCACTTCTTTGTTTATGTTACTGCAATCTGTTTGCTGTAATTTGCATGTGGTTAATGGAATTTTATTGGTGCATGTAAATCTGTTATGATCCCTGCTTCTCTAAAAACTTTCAGCTTGATTTTGTGGTGTGCGGTGTAAAGGTTCAGTGTACAAAGGTGCAAATTTTATTTATTTGTCTCCATTCCTTATTGAAGCCTGTTACCATTTTTTTGTGTGCAAAGCTTTTCCTGCAGTTTGAATCAAATAAATGGGAAGACTATGTGTAAGGTCACTTCAGTGATGCTTTGCTACCATCAATTAGTAATCCCTGTGAGGTTTCAGAGTGCAAAACTTGTGTAACTTTCTTGGTGTATTTCCAAAGTTGAGAAATAACTGAAAAATTCTTTTTGTTCCCTAGCGGAGTCCTCCAAGATGTGCAGTTGACACTCAAGGCGGTACATTTACACGAAAACCCTCAAGAGACTATATCATTCGTAATGCAGACGATATGCCTGTTGGAGGTGGTGGTGGCCAGTACTACTATGAAGATGGAGATTTACAGTATGTATTTTGCCCTTAAGTTTTACTACAATTATCCTTGATTTCACAGCAAATTTTTCTACTTTTCTTGTCTCATTATCAGGTATCAAAGACAACCACAAAATATCCCACCTCAACAATATGTGTATGAGGTAAAATATGTCTTGTTCCTGATTTCTTTTCCTTTGTTAAGAATGAAGATCTGAGCAAATATGATTTTCCTTATAGGACCCACCTATTGAGGACGAACCTCCAGTGGTGCTTCGCCAACCTCACCGAATGAGTAATGGAGGGTATCATGACGTTCTAATGAATCAAGGCGACAATAGTAGCAGTGATGGCAGTGGTGGAATGTACAGAGAACGCTCACGTCCTGTCAGTACAGTAAGTCATAGTTGTGTAATTTTATTTGAACTTGAGTTTTTTTGTAGTCGATTTCTGCCAATAGTGATTGTTTTTCTTTTGTGTAACACCTGCAGTTTTGGGCATTTTTCTTTTAATTTACTTTACACTTGTAGTTTCCTGCAAAGCTGAACTATATGCAAATATTTTTTTAAATACAGTATGCTGGTGCACCCATTATTTCACAGACTACATTTAATATTAATTGTAGAGGTATATTTTTTTTTCGTTGAAGGAGGTTTTTTCCTGTTTTATTTACGCTTCTATTATTTTGACAAGGTGGAGGATGACTCAAGACAAACGTGCGAGCGAAATAATCGCCAGACTCATGAGAGACTATCATCAGCTGCACAGCGGCTTGCAAACGACCGCATGACTTGCAACACCAATCAGCGTGCACCTTACCCTCGCAGACCAATTACAAGGGTGAGTCTTAGGATTCAAGATATATTTTTTGAAGCTGTTAAAGTCTTTCCCTTTCTTTGAAGTGCACTTTCATTGTTCCACTTAAATTTCTTGAGTGGGCACATGGAAACTTGCTGCATTTGAGTGCACAAAATTTGGATGTGCCTTATTGGCTCCATTCAGAAACATAGTTTTCTAAAATCTAAATAAATTTGTCGAGAAAACATAATTTTACATAGAGACAAATATCAGTAAAGTTCACTTTCAACACAAAAAGCCCAATTTTTCTGTTGATTTTCATTTCCTTTACATTATGGTAAAAGAAAGCAACTGTAAACATTACTTTCTTGTTTCATCCTCTTCCCTGTATTTTGTTTTAAACTAGAGGTACAAATTTGAGAACCTAAATTTTGTTTTATATGGCGTGTAGCAATGTGGATAGCATTGTAGGTTTGACTGTTTAGTTTGCTTAACTTTAAAGCTCAATTTTTCTTTACTTTGTTTACAGAGTTCAAATCTGCTGTCAGCAGTTCTGTGTCTAGTCAAAGAACTGGATTATCCAAGTTTAGAGGTAGTAGAAATGGCTGTCAAGTGCAGAATGGATGAACTTGAAGATTAGTACTGTCATCGTTTTACTAATGATCTAATCTTGACTAATTACCAACCAAAAAATGTTAAATTTATTTGATACAGGTGTAGATTATTTAAGGTTGACATGCAAATATGTAAATATGTAACATTCACTTTTATTTGAATTTGATGTGTGATGGATGTCCTGGTAGAGTGTGGTGCTGTACGAATGGAACAAAAGAGGACAAGTCTGGAATGTCATTGGGAGTGCATTCACTACCGATGTATACAACCATACTTTTAAAGAAATAATGTGATATTGCTGGTTTTATAGGACCTTATACGTAATTCATAAAAAAGTTCCACCTTTGTTTTGGTATCAGAACTTAAAGCAGATAAATTTTCCTAGAGATTACTTTATTAAAGAAAGAGTTCATAAGAAATTGCAGCCTCTTTGTCAATTTTTTTTCTTTACTTGGCTTGTAATTATTGGACAAATCGCATGCTCCAATGTGAAAATTATCTTGCCTTGTGCTGTAATTTCTTCCTTCATGCAGGCAAACTGCTAAATACTGTTGGACTATGTTGATGCTCCTTTCGAATCCCTAGTAGTAGAAATTTTGCCATGAGTGCCTTTTATTCATGTACCAGTTGGTTGAGACATTGAACAGGTTTTGCAGACTTTGCGTGGTGATTAGGATGTATGGTAATATAATTACGCATTACTAATTGTGCTTTAAACCCAAACACGCGCAGCTGACAGTTCCCTTACGTAGTAGTTAAACTTGTCTCTGAATAAGTTAGATCTGTTGAAAAATACAGGGTTTGGTTGTGGATAATATGTGCAGAAACTAGATTTTAGTCATGATATCTTTGCACATTTCACCTGTACCAGTCAGGTATACTTCCCAACAAAGGCACCAGGTCTATTTAGTTTTTTTGTTGATTAAACTACCTTTCTATGTTTTTTGTCTGCCTGTAAAGAAGATTGGTTTTGCTATTTTTGTCCCCTGCTCAACATTCTGTACAGGTTTTCTGTCTGTAGGTGCTCCCAGTGGCTTGTCTTTGTTTTTTAAGCCTGGTCTGGTAAATATGTACTTTTTTAAAGGATAGGAAAGAAAATTCACACTGTTAACTCATTGAATTTTCTTTATTAAAAGGTTAATGCAACCCAGTACACAGAGGTAGCTAACTTCTAGTCTTCATAAAGGTTTAGCTTCAATTTCCTTTTTTTATACCTTCATTTGTTTGTTCTGTTCTCTGAAGGGATCAACAGTAGGTCAATTTTATTTGGTCTACTTGCATTGTCCATACTGTTGTATCCTTTTGCATTAATTTTTTGGTATTCATTTGTTGCTAACTGTGTTCACATACAGTTCAACTGCTCTGAAGAGATAAGACTTGTTTAAACACTGCTATTTGCTATCCCGTCGGTGCTACTTGAGATTCATTAAACTGTGATCACTTGACAAATGTTGAACATATAAGAATTGTTATTTCATAATTAATTGCGGGATATAACTATGTTTTCATAGCCTTACTTTCTTTTCATTCTTATTATACAAAACTGAGATTTTAAATTGTTTCTAATGTTAATTTGGATCAATAGGTCCTGAACAAACCCACTGTTGTCATTTTTCTCACTTTAGGTACTTTTAAAACATGAGTGAGTGACTGTAACTGCACTAAAACTGGCTGTGCTATGATGTGAGAAATGTATTAAAAGAATGCAATATTCACTTCAGACTTTGTTGTCATTTTGGCGTCCTTTGACTTTCCTGTCTATTGATTGGTCCAAGCTGTGTCACTTACGCACTTAAATTGAATGACTGAGCAACTGAACTGGATGGACTAGTGGAGCCTCCCTTCCTTCTTCCCCCAGCCCCCACCTGTCTCAAGGTTCAATTGTTGTAATTGTCTCTATGACAACCAGCAACCCTAGGGGTTGCAGAAAACAAATGAAACAACATTAAACCTTTAAAAATTTAAAAACCTAAAAAAAAGAGAAAAATAATTTAAAACAAGAAAAAAATACATGGGCCAATTTTAAAATAAGATAATTAAAATCTATTTGACGGTTGATAGTAACAATCAAAATGATGGCCATGCCAGATGGATTTCCAATGGAAATGGACTTTCCATACCCAAACCCTGATTCAAGCAAGTAAGACAGGCCTACTAGTACACTCAGATAACAGAAATGACATATGAAATGATTCTTTCAAGACTTCAACTCTAAAATGTAACAATGCAATTGCAGGAGACCTGATGCAGAATGCTCACTATTACTTCAGCGCCCTGCAGTGGAAGACTGCTCTTGCCTTGACCATGGCCCAACTCCAGAAGTGTCCTACATGCGCTATACACGAGCAAAGGACATGCAAGTTTATAACCAGATGCAAGCTATGCGCAAAGTTGTAAGTTATGTTGAGCAATCTTCTTTTCTCTAAACTTTTACAAACACAAAAGAGGCTTGAGACTTTCAACAATTTTATCTTTTAGATGGCAACTCGGGCAAGCAACATTCTTGATCACTTGTGTCCAGATGAAGATTCTAAAATGAATGCTTTCCATATCATTGATTATGCAAAACGAGGTGGGTTGCACATGGTTGTTATTGCACATCTAATAAATATGTGGGAAGCAAAACACAAAAAAATGTTATAAAAGTAACACATCTACTATTCCAGGACATTTACCTGGATGCTACACTTCACTAAGACCAGTGGAAGTCTGTGAAGCAGGGACACCTATAGAGCCACTACGAATTGGGTTGACAAATGGTTATAGAGATGCAAGTCTCTTTCCTCTCTACCCAAAGACTCGGCATATTGTAGATAAAAGTCACCCCCTTGTCTTTACACGAAGTAAGTGTCAAATCACAACAATCTGTTTTATCTCATGAGTTAGCAACTAAAGACCACATTTCTTGTCCAGCACCTGAAAACTTAAAGCACTGGTTCTCACCATACATACCTGGACGATCAGAATATGAAGATACAATTTCTCGCTTGGGACTTGCAAGGATGCGGAATACTAGGCAATATTTAGAACCATTGCCGAGTTCTCGTCTCCGATGTGGTGACCCAAACTGTTGAACAAATTCACTCAACATTCTCGAAGAAATCAAGAATGCTCATATTCATTTTCAGATCTCACATTAGAATAGTTCACCAATTTGATTTGTTCAGTCAAAGTTAAGTTTTAAGGAAAATAAACAGCAAAGACAAAATAAATTAAAACAATTTTTTTTTTAAAACTGGACGAAATTTTTCTTCTGTTTTAACTTAAAAAATAACACATGATATAAACTGGGCACAGTTTGTTTTAGAAGAACAAAACCACAGCACTATCACTAAATCATGGCAAACCTACAGTTACCAAGATTAGGACAAAATAATAATAATCATGGAGATGCGCATTTTTGTCACCTCTAAATCAAACTGATTATAAACACTATACAAAAACAAAACGTAAACATAAATCACTGTCTGAGACAGGTAAAATAAAAGGCAGAGAAGTAATTGAGCTTGGCTCGAATAATCTTAACAGTTCAGTTGGAAAACAGAAACACATAATGATAGAGGAATGTAATGAAAGGTTCATGTTCATATATCTTAAGCTTTGTTGGCATCTTGAGGTGAACGCCATCCTGGATCCCAGTAACCTTGAATTCGAAAGCCAACCAGTTCAATAAAGAGACTTCATGTATAGATAATGCCAAAATAAATCTTATTGTTTTACCTGGTGGCGTTACAGGGCTAGCACCAGCACCAATCCTATCCCTGTGACGAGAACAGGAGTTGACTATTTCCCTTCTTGCTTTATCATCATCACCAAATGCAGCAGCGAAAAACTGAGGAAATTATTATTACTAGTATGGTATTATAATATTTCTTCAAATAATCTTATACGTTTCTGATTGTCACTTACCCTGCCACATTGAGTACATTCCAAAGCAGGAAGATTCTTCCTTTCAAGCTTCTTACGTACTTTTCCATAGGTCTTATTTTTTTTTGGCAAACTGAAACAGAATTAAATTTGATGAAGAAAAAGATTAAGATAAACTATGGTTTCATTAACAATAAGTCAACCTACTGGTTGTAGCTGTTTTCTATAGGTCGGGGAGGAGTATCATCGAGATTCTTCTCGTCCAGAAGCTCAACAAACTCATTCAGAGCAGAGTTATCCATTGATACTTTTTGGGTGCTTACAAAAGGGGGCTTGAACTGAGATTGTAATGTTCCTTCAAAGTTATCCATTGGTTTCCTCCGTTTAGTTGGAGTGATGAATTCCTTTTCAGTGCTAGCATACATTGGCTCAAAATATGCCCCTTCACTATCCTTAAAATCATGTCTATCTTTCAAAGAAATAGTAGAAGTCCTAGAAAATTGCATTCATAGTAATAAAAGAAAATTGATTTAAATAGCATCATACAACATGCGTTTTGTAGTACACTTATGACGTACACAGCAGACTGCACATTTCCTTGAAGAGGTTCCTTAGTAGTACGAGCTGGACTAATGGGTTCAAACATTGTGGCATCACTGTCATCTGTCAAATGGCTTATAATAAAAACAAATCATTAGGTGATCATCCGAAACATAAAGCAATACCAAACTTGAAAGCACCATACCTATAATTATCATGATGAGACTTTGATATGGCTAATTCTATTTGCTCCTCTTCACTTAAATGAGTCAAAGTCTTAGAAAGATCTGCTCCAGTGGATTTCTTAGCTTTAGAGCCAAGGTGCTTTCTGTTTTGCAGGGATAGCTTGGTTGATCTGTTTGATTTGGATGAGTTCAATTTTGACCCATTCATATTGTCAACATAACTAGTTATAGTTGGTTGGACTGACATTTTCCGTTTTCCACTTTCAGTTCTTCGATAACTCGTATCCACTGCATTTGCTGCCGCAAACTGAAAAAAAGATCTTTAAATAAAAAAGTTTTGAAGAATGAAAAATGTTAAAATTATTCTAGAGAGACTTACTGAGCTGCTTCTGAATCTTTGTTTCTTGGAGGATGATCCAAGAGAGATATTTAAATTTCGTGCACCAATTTTTTTACTTCCTGAATTACCTCCAAAGATAGGACTTGGATCTCTTGTTGTCTGCGCTTTAGAGGGAGTGGAGGGAGATTTAACATTGACTGGGGTACCAGAAGGAGATTTTTTGTCATGATGACCAGTTGAGGTCAAACTGCTACCATTCTCTTTGTCTCTTCTAGAGGAGGGTCTATATTCTACTTGTTCTTCACAATTTTCTGGGTTAAATGTTTCTGGTATGATAATATTTTCCTTCAATACAGATCTTTGGTTCACAGGTTCATCGACATCCTGTGTATCAACAGCATACACAACGGGCTCCTTTTGATCAATGATTGCTTCATCACTCTTGAAAATCTTTTTATTCTTTCCCCTCCTTTTACTTTCTTGTTTGTTGCTAGCAGAGGGTGGGGTAGGAGCTATTTCATCCGGGGATGAAGCTACTGAATTCATGATTTCAGCTAAGTGTCTAGGTTTTGCAAAATCATCTGGAAGTAGATAAAAACAAATTAGATTAAAACACAAACTTGGACACTAGATGGAATGATGAGAAAACTTACTTTTGTCTGATTTGTGCCTTTGAAAGGTGGATCTTTTACAAGCATCTGGAGTGTCTAGTATTAAACTTTTGTCAGGTGAAATTGCCTCTAAATTTTCACGACTTGAATGGGTCTTAGCATTGATTGTATCCTTTCCAGCAAGTTCAGCTACTTGTTGCACTTTAGCAGCTGGCCATTCATCAGTTGGAAAGTCTAAAAAATTTGGCGAAATTTGCGAAATTCAATAATACTATAGGATGATAATAAAAACATAAATAAATTGCAACTCCACTCACCTGTGAATTGAGGTTGAGTTTGCAATTGGGTCATCATTTGCTGGACTGTTACAGCATTGTTCTGCTGAAGACAGGCCTTAAACACAGCATTAAGGCGAGTTTCCACTTCACTACTTATCCTTGATTGTAACCTGTAAAGACCATAAAGGACATCAAGGCACTGAGGACTGGGCCTGGCAGGATGTAGGAATCTTTTAAACTCACTGTTTCCATTTTACACTGGCCGACTCGGCTTCCTTCTGAAACTTCTTAGCCTTTAAATCCGATGATTGCAATTCAAATTTTAGATCTGACAGCTCCTTTCGAAGATTTTTAGCATCAGTCTCATATTGCTCTTTCTTTCGTGTTACAGCTTGTAGTTGAACTTTTAACGAATTGACTTCACTCGAGCCACGTAACTGTTTCTGCCTGAGGCCTTGAAATACACAAAACACAGGTCCAAACGATGAACGAAAGTAAGGAGTCAGCGATGACATAAAACTTTATACAAACCTGTGAGGAGGAGTTGGGTGGATTTAAGCAAAAGGGACAATTTAATTACATCCTCATCTTCATTGAAGTTTTCGACCATGCTACTCTTTGGCATAAGTGAGGTCCACACCGCCTCCACGGAGTCAGAACTCCGACAAATGCTCCCAGATTGAATCATTTTTTAAAAATATTTTTTTAAATTAAAGCAGCATTTTTACCACCCTCAGTGACAGTTAGAGCTATTAAAGGTTATCACCACAAACAAAGCTCATTGATACACTCATTTAAAAATTTCGTCAACTGAGAAATGCCCGTGAAATCTAGCAGAGGCATGCCTAAATTTCGACTGTAAACTTAACGAGGTCTTCTCAAGGTACGTCAGTGACGTTCTCGTTAACCTTTGTTTACAGTTGACATTGACAGGTCAGGTCAGGCAACTGGCAAAGCATGGCACCGGCGCGCTAAAATTCAAATTTCAAGGCTACCAATCACTGCCCCAAAGCAGACTTGAAAAGAAGGCTCATAATACCATGACAAAGAAAGAAAATATTCAACAAGAAAGGTGTTTACTTTAAAAAATTCTCCTCTTTACCGAATTGCGGTTTCTTGCAAGGATTTGTCAAATAGCTTGTTCCATGATTTGCATTTCTTGTCTGGCTGTTGGTGAAACTGTGCGCTGGCTAGCCAACTTTACCCAAGAACAAGTTTATGTGTTTCTTTTTGTAATGAGCCTTTTACTTAGACTCATCATGATTAAGAAGCTCACGATAGATTGATTCCACAAGACAGCTGACTGACAAATCGCGATCTTTCCGAAATCTTTCCAAGCAATAGTATGTGATTGTCAATGTGGGTTGGATACCCGTGTGTTTATGTTTGTCATTTTTGTCGTGTAAAATCACCATAAATCTTCCTCGAAAATCGACGCACTCCGAATTTCTGAGTTTTAAATTGCCCCCAACTCCCTTCTCCTTTTGATCTTTACTGCTCTTAGCTGCTGTCTGCTGTCCCTCAGGTACGAAACCTCAACTAACCTCGACTGCCTCAAACCTCTCTGTTGTCTTATTATCTGTCACTCTGAAGTGATTCTTGTAAACGGTGAAATTCAACTCGGTCTATTCTATTAATATTTTCGTTTCTTTCTGTAGGATCGATTCTGTGTGAGACGGAGATCATAATGTCAACCCCAATCATGGTACCATTGACGAAGCTGCTCAGTGCGTTATGGACCCCATCTATTCCTCTGGGCAATCCCTCAAAGCTTCCAAGTGAAGGTCTTCAAGACTCATGTACCAGAGGCTTCCATTTTCTTGTTCGATTAGCCTGGGAGTCAAGATATATGATCCCAGTCATGTACGCAGTTTTCTCTTTCCTCTTTGATATTCAAATGAGGCTTGAGATCATTGTTCTTCGTGAAAGGGTGCCAATACATGAGGTGGAGGAAGAAGAGGAGGAGGAAGATGCATTTCCAGCGCTGGGTCAAGAGGAAGATCTCATGCAAGAGTCTGAAAGTCTAGGAGCTCCCAGTGAGCCTGACAGTCCGTTGGAAGGGGAGGACGATCAGTGAACTCTGCCCGAATGTACATTCCTCACCCAGCAGCATATGTATTTCAGCTGTTGATTTTTCGTCTTTCTCTCTAATTTATTTGCCACTAGTAATAATGTGATATTAATAGTCTCAGTAAATTTTTGTGTTTTGTTCAGTTTGTATCAGGACTACCAAAATTTACTAGAAGTTTTAGCAAAGCAGAGGCTTATTATTTTGTTTAAATGTCTAATGTTTTTTATGCATACATGTTCATTTCTTTTAAATGTTTTAGTTTACAAGGGCCATAATAATTAATTTTAGTTCTGATACTGGTATGTGTTTACTGAATCACCTCAACCAATTCAAATGAATTAAATTTGAAAAATTTGATTTTGAAGTATTAACTTGGTTTGTCTTAACTTTTTCGAACTTTTTGTGTTCTACAGTACTACTTTAGGTAGAAGCAGAAAAAGTTATCATTTTTTCTCTCTTTCTCTTTTTTAAGTGTACTTAGTTTTACAAGCTAACCATGGTGTCAGCGACATAATGTATACAGGAGTCATACCTTATGTACATTGACAGAAAAAAGTGATTTTAGTCTTGGTGTTAAATATGTTTTTATCTTAGATCTTATCACCATGATAGTGTAAGGATTGTTAATGAGCTAATGACATGACTGTGATGAATTTGAAATAATGTACAAATGCCAAGCTGGTTAGAAATTATGTTTCACCAAGAAATATTTAAGACTTCTAGCTCTCCTTATTTTATTATATAGAAAGGAAGTAAACAATTATTACGGAGACCTGGAAAATAAATTTTTAGTGATGCTGATCCATTTTGCTTTTAACAATATTTTAATATCTGCAAAATATGTACAAGTTTCATAAAAATAAAACATGAGTCTGATTCACTCTCTGAGAGTGAATGTCAGTAGCATTTTAGAAACATCACAAATTTTTATTTGTGAATTGTCTTACCTAGTCCCAGCGTTGAATGGCAAGTTGCATGTTAAAAATATCTTGTAGTCCTCCATCTTTAAACCTGTTATGAGGCTAGACACTGCAGGTGCCTGTGATAGATAGTGATGTGCATCCATGTTGTCTGTTGAGCATTTTCATTTCATGTGAAGTAGATTTAAGGGAATAAATCAGGTCTGAAAAAAATTGATGCGTGTGAGTTTCTGTATCCGACTGAGAGTCGACTTCTTCTTTCCTTGGTCACCCTAGAGTTGAGCCGGCCCTAGAGTCCGTCCGCGCCGCGCCGGTGCGTCACGTGTGTAGTCGCGTCCGCCGGTGCCGCGGCTACGCGGCGACGCGGCCCGGGCCATGCGGCCCAGGTACGGCAGGTACGACGGGCAGGTAGCCCGCCAGCCCGCCCCGCGCCCCGCAGTAATCAGTCCAGCCGACGCCGCGGTGCAGTGCGCAACGCAGCGCGCCTCACGCAGTGCGCCCGCCTGCAGCCCGCGCAGCCGGAAGGCTCGCCTCGCCGCTCCGGTGCAGTGTCCAGTGTAGTGTCTCAGAGACCGGCCGGCGTGGCGCGGCGTGGCACCCAGGCCATCCAGGTGTCGGCTTCTCGTCCGTCGGCGACACGCGGGAATGCGGGAGCTGTAGTTGGCTGTTCGCTGTAGCGCGGTCGCGGTGTCCGTCTGCACCACGGCGTCGATCCGGCCGCCCTCGCCGCCGCCATCCAGGCCGCCATCCCGGCCGCACGGCGCGGGAGACGCCCGGAGCTGACACGCCCAGGTGAGGGAGGGAGAGAGGTCCGCGTCGGCCGGCCGAAGTGGAGCGCCTGTCGTCGCGGGGGTAGGCCGCACCGCCACACACGCGTGCTCGACGGGACTGTACAACGCCCAGGCGCTCCGGTGCAGTCTGGGGTGCGTAGATCATTTATTGCGAACATTGTTTCGTCGCTCTGCCTTTCTCGCACCTTCACGGGGCGCCCCACGAGTGCGAGAGAGACAGAGCGAGGACCGCGATGAGCGTAATCACGGCGGTTTCAGTGGGACTTGAAAGGCTTCAAAGTTCGCCGGCGTTCAGAGCAAGCGGGCAGTCGGAACCATGGCGAACGGGTGCGAGCGACACAGAGCGACGCGTCATGGACAGGGCTGGGCTCCGAGGGCTCCGAGCAGGTGGGGCGGGGCGGGGCGGGGCGCTCCGATAAGATTAGCGGCTAGATCGATGCCGGAGATAAGGCACGGCCTAGCCAAGGCGGCCACGGCGGAGGAGCGCGCCGAAATGCCGCCGCGATGCCGCGACGGGCTGCACGCTGGGGCACGCCGATTCCCCGACTCCACGCGTTGTTCGTCTCTCTCGCACTCTCGGGGCGTGAGAGACAGTAGCAACGAAACGCAGGCCGAATCAGTCTGCTCCCTAGGCGGGCATGGGACTGTCGCTATGGATGGACCTGCACGCGAAAAGAAAAAGACAAATCACCAATCATTGGAGTGAAATGTTCGTCTATGCGTGTAATCGTTTTTCTCAGTGTGGGTTCCTGCTACTGAAGGAAAGACATGCATACATTTGGGCCCTGGTCGTCCGAGGGTGATGATCCGAGTCGTAGATAGTTGTATCATGTTCCGTGTGCGTGTGTGTGTGGACGGGACCTCGGACGTGACTGCAGCTCGCCTTTCCTATTCCTCACACACACAAAGCTTACGCACGCACACGAGCCTCGGCATGCGGTGAAGCCGGTGAATAGCGCATGTAACCGAGTTCCTGCCACGGGCAGCCACAGGCAGCCACAGGTGTGTCCATCCCCCCCCCCTCCCGGCCTCCCCCTCGTCCCTTTAAGCCGGCCGGCTCGAATCGCCATGCAGTGGGATATTCATGACTTCCCCTCAAGGTCAGGATCACGATCGCCCCCTCCCCCGCCCTGTCGTCTTCTCCCTCCGCCGCTCCCTCCGTCGACTTTCTAAACACCCGAACGCTCATGACTTTCTTCCCGAATAACGAAACCGCCGTCACAGCGACGAGTGCGGCATCGAAGGCCAGCTGCCGAGGAGGTGGCCAGCCGCCTCATTCTGACAGGCCGCTTCGTGGCGTTGACTCTGTCGCTCCCGTGGGGCGGCCCGAACGGGTGCGAGAGAGACAGACTGCGTGTGTGACTGATGCCTGCGTAATCACTCGGCGCGGACGGCTCGAGCAGCTCGAGTCAATTTTTGCATCCGTTGTGCGATCGAGCGGAGAGAAAAACACACACGCGCGTAGCGCGTAGCAGGCGTAAGCGGAGACGGCGCTGGACTCGCGCAGAGGACGCTCTGATTGGCCGTGCTAAGTGGCGCGTCAGGCGGGCAGCCAAGCAGGCAGCCAGGCGGACAGCCGAGCAGGCAGCCGACGCGAGCCAATTAGACATGCAGTCCGCGGAAATGCATTGTTTGCGTGCCGGTCTAATATCGGGGGCCCTCTCCGGCGACGACGACAACAACAAGGAGCAAACAAAATTTTCTTTTGGGTCTGGACGCGCTGCGACGTTGATCGCCCGCCCGATGGAGCCAAAAGTGGCCTGTCACACAACGCGTGTTGTTTACACAGTGCCGTTGAACGTTGGAGGGGGAAAATACACTACTTTTGACTTTTGGCTCGGTTTGCTCCGCCTCCGCCTCGCCGTGTGTATTCCTGCCACACGTTGCGTTCGGCGCGGCGCGGCGCGGCGCTCCATTCAGGAACGGCCGCATGCGGAGCGCGGAGCGTGCGGGAGGGAAGGCAAGGGAAGGTTGGCGGCTGTCGCGTCGCGTCGCCTGGCGGACGCGGCCCCGCTCTATTGACAAACACTCCGCGCACCGCTCGGCCCGCAGCTCGCGGTGACTCGCGGGCACCGCGGCACCAGCTCTAAGCGGCTGCTTTATCTTGAGCGAAACGGCCACGGCGGCGCGCCGAAGGCACGGCGAGTGTTCATCGGCGAACCATTTGGCCTAGGAAGGGGCGGGGCCGGGGCGGCGTGTCGCCGTGTGCCGTCGCGGGGGCAGCGCGATGAGTCACTGCCGCGGCCAAACGCGATGTCCCGCGGTCAGCCTGTCCAAGGGCCGCGGGGCCGACCCGGCCGTGGCGCGCATCCAGGCCAGGGGCAGCCGGGGAAGGCCGGGGCGGCCAGGGCCACGGGCCGAAGCAGTTCGCGGATTACGACTCGATTGGCAGCAGCACTCGAGCCTCGGACTCTGCGACAATGTCGGAGTCCAATCGGCGATCTGCAGATCACGGCACGCCGCTTCAAACTCGGAGTGCCACTTCCGACTCGTAGGACCACGTCATAAACGACGCTAAGAGCATCGCGCATCGCGCATCGTGCCGCTGCGGCCGAGCCACTCGGAAGCATCTTCGTCTCTCTGTCTCTCTCGCAGCCCTGCGGGCCGCCTCGCGAGTAAGACGAAGACAGAGCGACGAAACGACTCCCCGGAATGAGTGCGCTGTTACCGCACCTCTTAGTCATTTGACGTGTTATCCGGCCTGTCGCGGCGCGCGGCCTTTCTCTGGCGGTGCCGAAGTCCCCGGCCCGCGAGTCGCACCGTGAAGCGCGAAGCTCTGTCTCTGTCTGTCGGCGTGATTCACCGCGAGGCGAGGCACGGCCGTGGGAATCGCGCGCCGTGCGGTGCGAACCACCAGCCGGTCGTTGTTTCGTCGTTGTCTCTCTCGCACCAGTACGGGCCGACCCGCGAGGCGACTCTTCGGAAAGAGCCGCTGCTTTGGCAGGCCTTGCCAGGCCTTGCCTGCCCAAAGTGAGACGCGTGAGTCCTGTTGCAGCGGGGCCGGGCGACGCCGGGCGACGCCCTCCCCGACGGCCGAGGCGCCAAGGCGACGGCGGGCTTGATGGCGGCGCGGGCCGTGCTGCTGCTGCTGGTGCTCGCCGTCGCGGTGCTCGGCGGGCCGCGGCTCGGCGGTGTGGACGGCGAGGACTACCATGACGCGGCCGCCGGCGAGGAGGACGCCCTGCCCGACGTGCCCGACGAGCCCAGCCTGCCCGACGAGCCATCCGGGGTGTGCCCCGCGGCCTGCAAGTGCCGCTTCGGAGTGCGTCCGCTGCTGGTGGACTGCTCCAACAGAAAGCTGAGCGCCTTCCCGGACCCCACGGAGATACCGGAAGAGGTAAGCCAATCCCCTGGCCCCGGGGCACTGCAGTGCGTGCTGGCCGCGCCTGGAGGTCATGTCCGAGTGTCTGCACAGTGTACCCCAGTTAGCGCCCTGCTGCAGGTGGAGGTCCTGGACCTGTCCGACAACGCCATCCGCGTGGTGCCGCGCGACCTGCCGGCGTGGGAGCGCCTGCAGGAGCTGTCGCTGGCCGGCAACCAGATCGCCGCCTTCCCGCCCGGCGCGCTGGTGGGGCTGTCCGCCCTGGAGGCGCTGGACCTGAGCAGGAACAAGATCGCCAGCCTGCGGCACGTCAAGCCCGACCGCTTCATCGTCAACAACCCCGTGATGCAGGTTCGAGCCCCGGCTAGAGCGGCCAAAATCCCTCGTGAACCTCTTACACTGACCACGTTGGTTCTGATCCTACAGGTGCTCAACCTGTCCGGCAACGGGATCCAGGACCTGGGCCACGGCTCGTTCCAGTCGCTGAGCAGCGAGTCGCTGCACGTGCTGGACGTGTCCAAGTGCGCCGTCAGCTCCATCGACGGCGAGGAGGCGCTGGCCGCGCTGCCGGCGCTGCGCGTGCTGCGCGTGGCCGACAACCCCCTGCAGCAGCTGCCCGTCTTCGCGACCGCCACGGAGCTGCGCGAGCTGGACGCGTCCGGCTGCCGCCTGCGCTCCGTCCCCGCCGGCGTGCTCTCGGCGCTGCCGCAGCTGCAGCACCTCGCCGTCAGCCGCAACCCCGACCTGGCGCACTTCCTGCCGCCCCAGCCGGCCACCCCCAGCCCGCGCGACCCGGACCAGCTGTCGCACCTCTTAAAAATGTGCGTGTGGGGAGAGGGGGAGGGGGCAGGGTTCAATCCTTTCCACCGGCGGCGGCAATGGCGCTGGCTGGGGATTGGAAGCGGCCGGCCGATGATCGCCTCGCTTGATTGACGCGCTGCCCGAGTCATGGAGGCACGGAGGCACGGGCCTGCGCGCCTGGCTGCAGCAGTGACCCACTTCCCACTGCCTGCTGCAGCATGGCGGCACTGGCGGCACGCAACGTCGCGTTCACGGGGACGTCGTGAGCGTTTGGCCGTTGTCCGGGGGCTCTAAATTAATTTTTTTTATAGTTGAATTGTTGTAATGCCCGAAAAGGCAACACTCGTCTAATTAGTGTTTCCCTTCCCTACACTGTGCAGGCCGGCGCCGTGGTCCGCGACGCTGCAGGTGCTGGAGGCCGAGGAGTGCGCGCTGCACGAGACGTCCTTCCTGGCCACGCTGCCCAACGTGACCGAGGTGCGTCTGCGCGGCAACCGCATCGCGGCACTCCAGCCCGGCGAGCTGATGGACAACGCCGTGCTCCAGCACCTGGACCTCGCCGACAACCGCCTCGAGAACCTGCCCGCCGACGCGTTCAAGGGCACCGAGGACATGCTCAAGGTGCAGTGTTCGTGTTGTTATTGTTGAAGGCATAAAAATATCCCCCGATAAAGCCCGCCCCCGAAGGTACTCGAACCCACGCTCTCTCTGCTGCAGGAGCTGGACCTGTCCGGCAACCGGCTGACGGCGCTGCACCCAGAGACGTTCTCGCTGCACTTGGCGCTGCGCTCCCTCAACGTGTCGCGCAACCCCATCGCGTCGCTGCAGCTGTCGGCGCCCCAGCTGCGCCACCTCGACGCGTCGCACGCCGAGCTGCAGGTGGTGGCCGAGGCCGTGCTGGACGGTATGCCGCGGCTGCGGCACCTCAACGTGTCCAACAACCCCCTGGCGGCGTTGCCCGAACGCGCCGCGTCGCCCGGCAGCGACCCCGTGCTGCACACGCTGGACGTGTCCTTCTGCAGGCTCACGGACCTCGGCGCCGACTCGCTGGCCGCGCTGGCCGTGCTGCAGACGCTGGACCTGCGGGGGAACCGCTTCACCGACCCCCTCAAGGTGAGTACCCCGCGCCGCCAGGCCCGCTAGGCCGCTAGCCCGAGCCGCACGGGGTATCGCCATCGCCCCGCCAGCCTCAACTGAATGCTTGCTCGGCAGGTCGAGGCGTTCAGCGAGAACGCCATCCTGCAGACCATTCGCCTCGGCGACAACCCCTGGCGGTGTGACTGCAGGACCCAGGACTTCCGCGACATGCTGGACTTCCTGCAGGCGCAGCCCCCCAAGGAAGACCTGCACTCCCTGGTGCGTCGCCCTGCCACCTCTAGTGGCTAACCGCTACCGACACGCTTTGTTGCTGACCCCGCCTCTTTTGCTGCAGCTGTGCCACAGCCCCGAGTCGGCGCAGGGCCAGTCCTGGCACGCGGCCTGCCTGGCGCCGGGCGCGGGCTCCATGGCGTCGCTGGGCACGTGGGTCTTCGTGGCCGTGATGGTGATCGGCGTGGCGGCGGTGGCCTTCGGCGTGGGCATGGCGCGGCGCGTGCGGCGCGGCAAGGCGCGGCGGCGCCGGCAGCACGAGCAGCAGCAGGAGGAGGAGCGGCGCGCCTGCGAGCAGGAGGCGGAGCGGCGACGGCTGCACCGCCGCATGCAGATGCAGCAGCAGGAGCAGCTGCGCCGGCAGAACATGCGGGTGAGTCGGCACGTCGGCAAAGATCGAAAGCACTCTGAGCATTCTAGCAAAGCCGCCCTGATTGCGGCGCTTCAGACCGGCTTGCGCGACCCTCTCGACCTCGTACTCTGATCCGCTGAATCCGTTGCAGGCGCAGCAAGCGTCGTCCCCGGACGAGCCCGACCCGCACCCGCCGTCCTACGAGGAGGCCATGTTCATGGACCGGATGACGAAGGGCGACGAGGGCCACAGCGACAGCGACAGCGAGGAGGACGAGGCCTTCCACGAGGAGCTGCAGAGAAAGGTTCGTCCTCGAGCACCCCGAGTTCCTCCTCGAGTAGGCGACCGCTAACGGCAAGCCCCCTTGACAGGTCGCGCGCCTGGACTCGGCCGGCAGGGCGACCGACGTCATCGAGGAGGAGGAGGACGAGCACACGGCGCTATCAAACGGAAGCGGAGCCAACAACGGCAGCGCGCGCGGCGCGCGCAGCGCCCCCCTCAACACGAGGCTATGAGGCGGCACGGCCGGGCCAGGGCCGGGCAGGCCCCACCCCGCCACGCCATCAGCTAGTCAGCATCACCAAATCAACACACCTGCTCATTGCTCATTGATTCGCTCCAATGGCACTCGTTAACCTTTTTGTACTGCTCGACGCTTGGACTGAGTGCGGCGTCCAACGCGGCGCAGAGTGGCGCCGCTGCCCGTCAGCATGGCTGTCAGCCAACGCCAAACCCGCCACGCTGCCTCGCGGTGGATCTCACACCAGATGTGTTTTTGTTAAAATAAATAAGACTCCTTTTGTAGAAGCCTTTTGTTCCATACAAAGTGTAGGGTGGAGACCAAAGCACCTCTCAAAAAAGCAGCACGTTTCATTTACTTTTACTTTTCCTGGATTTTTCTGCTTCTTTCACATCAACATTTAAAGCGACAGCGCAGCATTAACATTTATGGCAATTTCTTTGCGTCTATGGCACACATATAAAATATTGTTACGTAATTGTGTATACATGTACATGTATACCTTAGCGGTCAAGATAAAAGTGCACGAATGACTTGACTAGCAAAAGCGAAACGGAAGACAAGACAACCGTGTAGATAGGGCGCACTCGTCAGGTGTTGCGTGCGCCCTGCGATGCCTCGGATAGAGTTTGAAGAAAAGACCACTAGATATATACATATATGTTTACAAACTTTAAAGAATTTTTAAAAAACCTCCCTCGTGAATCCTTTAGACATTCGGTCCGAAACAGGTGTGGAAGTGACTCAAAAGTTCACGCAAAAGAGCGCTTGTGGCACAAATTTCAAGTGAGCTTACAAGGTCGACTTTATAGAGTCACATAGCCCAACCTTTTTTTTGTTGCAGCTGAACATTTTGACAGCTTTTCTCTCTTGCCTTAAGAGACCAAAATCAATTTAAAAGAAAACCCACAAAATTAAACACTGTCATAGCCACACCATCGGTAATGCACTGTGGCTAAAAGAATTAATTCAATAAAATCTATTTACAAAAGATCAAGAATTCGCCTTCCTACAAACACACACATAGCTCCTTTCACTCACATCACGCAGTCGAGGTACAGTTTGGCCAACACGCCTAATAAACTCCAAACTCAACTCGAAGGAGAACAAAAGCAACGTCAGTACGAGCATTTGGCCTACTTAGGCCGAAAGACTACAAAACATCTGGCAAAACTTTGGTTAAAACACATATCTAGTTACATAGAGGATATTTGTGTTCAACAAGAAATAATTTTTGACAAAGTTTTAAAATTTATGATATTTTTGAAATTTATGATAGAGTATTGGAGAGACTTACACTGACTACGTGGCTGTAAATTAGTGATAGAGAATCACAAAGTATATTTTTCTAGCGCTCTTCACTCAAAATTCACACGCAATTTAAATTACTTAAGAGCGAAAATATGAAGTATTTCAAGATATTGCGAACTACAATTTTGGACGTAGAGGAGAGACGAACCTTGATATCATAATTGAGAATACTGTCGATTTAAAATTAAGCTAATTTATGGAATTTCAGATCGTGTCTCCTCAGGACCTTCTTTGTCGAGTCGATCATAATCACGTCTTAATCATTACAGTCGGATCTGTCACAAATTCCTTTTTTTTTGCGTCGTGAATTTTTGTGATAGGTGACTAAGATGAAGCCATATAGACGAGTTAAAAAGACAAATTTGCATCAGGAAAAATACTGCCATCTGACAACTGATTCATCTTGAAGAACCCTCCCACTGATTCCGTCCTTCTGTTGACACTACGATATAATTTCACCAAAAATATATGTTCCCTCTAACATTTTAGACAAATGTGTGAAATCAAATACAATCGTTAGCATTCTACACAAACCCTCGATCAACGAGGAAATGATTCTTTTGAAGGTATAAGCTCTATCAACCACAAAAATATACGGCAATTGGTCCGTACGTACAAGAAGTAAGTGTTCGCAGTGCTTCTAAGCAAATAAAGAAATTATATTGTCTTCACACAAATAGCGCAGCAATATGTGTCGCCGTCACTGTACAAAAACACACAATTTGTGAAATCAAAACAAACGAAATGTTCACACCGAAACTAAAATACGGGCGCGTGCTCATACATACAAACACACACATACACACACCCACAAACATGAAGACATACAGACTACACCCCATTCGTACAGACACAAAAAGCAGTGGAAAGTACACTCCACCACAGCAGAATAAGCCCCTAGATGTCCGTAGGGCCCATTCGAATGCAAGGTACAAACTTAACTTATCTCGTGAGTCACCGCAAAATAGCATTCGTGAGGACTAGTAGTTAAAATGAAAGGTCTTAAGAACCGAGAAAACCTAATTTAATATGCTTAAGTGCAACTCCGTGAATGCCATCAAGGAGAATTCGAATTCCCTTCTGTTTTACTTTTATAATGAATATTGGTGTCAAGCGGAAAATGCTGAGATAGATCACCGCAAAATAATAGTGTGTCTACGTCGCCCTAGAAATTATGCGAAAGGGAAACCTTCTATATTTCCTACACTGGGTCTGCTTAACGGTAGCCCCGCAGATCGTAATCTATATTGGTATAGATGGATAATGTGAATAAAATCCACGGCGCGATCCTCTAATTATAATAATAACATTTCAGAAACGGCATGCTGGTTAAAGACTACGGGTCGGACTGGCAAGCATTCTACAACACCGTCAAATCGTTCCTGCCGCGCGTACCGCACTATCGCTACATATGAAGGCTGGTCTCTGTGTCCATCACGATTTAAAAGTCAATGCTAACCTAACACAACACACACATCATGTAGTATAAAAAGGTTCTCACACATCATCGTCGGGTTGGAAATGCCGTCTTTCGAAAGCACTCACACATTGTTATAGTTACTACTGCCGAGGTCAGACCAACGCGTCGGGCACTGGTCTGTGCGTGCGGACTTGGCATGCTCCGGTCTTAAGCATTCTTCGCAACGGTCAGACGTCTTTCCTCATATAATAGTAATAACAATAATCGTAATAATTTTATAATATTATAAATAATAATAGTAACCTAAACGAGACGCATGAATGCGTGCGAATGTCTCTGGAAAGGCGGGCGTCGCGTCACACGCCGCCCGTTTCTGGAGCGGCGGCGCAGCGCCGTCGTCTTCAGCACCGCGACAGCGCGCCGCCGCCGTGGAGACGGACAAGGACACCGAGTGGCTGCACTGGTCGGCCAGCGACCGGCGACTGCCAACTCAGTTCTTGGCCGTCAGGATGGTCACGAACTCTGCAACAAGCGCGTCGTCAAGCACACGGGCCACTCGATGCTCTGTCCGCCGTCTCACAGACCGCTCACCTTCGTAGTTGACCATGCCGTCGCCGTCGAGGTCGGCCTCCCGGATCATGTCGTCGACCTCCTCGTCGGACAGCTTCTCGCCGAGGCTGGTCATGACGTGGCGCAGCTCCGACGACGAGATGAGGCCGTCCTTGTTCTTGTCGAACACCCTGCAACAGACGCACCGTGAATGGCCGAGAAAGGCGAGAATGGCGAGCTAAGGTGGATTTGGCGGGGCCTGGACGCCGACCTGAACGCCTCCCGGAGCTCCTCCTCGCCGTCAGCGCCCTTCATCTTCTTGGACATCATCTGCAGGAACTCGTTGAACTCGATGGTGCCGTTGCCGTCCTGGTCCACCTCGTTCACCATGTCGCGCAGCTCCGTCTCTGCAACGGGCGGCATGATGGCACACACTCTTTTTGGTACAAACCGATTCGCAAAGCAACAACTGGGGCCCTGCTCACCAGTGGGCCGCTGCCCGAGGGAGCGCATCACCACGCCCAGCTCGGCCATGGTGATGGTGCCGTCCTCGTCCTGGTCGAACAGCATGAAGGCCTCCTTGAACTCGGCCACCTGGTCCTCGGTCAGGCCGTACTCGGACTGCAACACAAACGGGGCGGCCGGCCCGGTCAGGCCACGCGTCTCTCTCTCGCGCACCACGAGGTGCAGCCGGTCTAGCCCTTAATGGTAATGGTAATGCGAGGTAGGCAACCGCTCGACTTGCGGCTTCGGCGGCACTGCCTATCCCGCTGCTCGCAGGCGCTTGCCGCTGGAGCGCTCCGGGAGGGAATGAATGAATGAATGAATGAATGAATGAATGAATGAATGAATGAATGAATGAATGAATGAATGAATGAATGAATGAATGAATGAATGAATGAATGAATGAATGAATGAATGAATGAATGAATGAATTGCTGATTGAACGAACTCGCGAACGACTTACGGACTGCGTCCTCGTCTCGTAGCCGCTGGTGAGCCGGGTCAGCCTCCTGAACTCTTGCGAGTACTTCTCTTCACCTGCCGCCATGCTGGCCCCGGCCCCGGCCAAGAGGGCCATGCCGACGAGGGGACTAGAAGCACGCGGTGCATCAGGGGGAGGGGAGGGGGAGTGTACACCCTTCACTGCAGTCGCGTCTCCTCTTTGCTCCCCATCCCGGCCCTCCCACGCCACGTCCCGCTGCCGTGTGTGAGTGTGTGTATGTGTGTGTCCACTTGAACGCATCCCGTGCTGCGCGTTAGCTCCCGGACGACGTCGTCCTGTCGCCTCGTTCGCGCCATCGTCCCGGCGTCGTCACGTCGCCGTCACGTCGTCGTCACGTCGCCGTCACGTCACCGTCGCGTCACGTCGCCTCGGCGGCGTTGCCGGGCGTCGCGGGGCGCGGTGGTTCCAATTAACGTGCGGTGCATGCAGGCGGTGCGGCGCGGCGACGCCGGCCGAGGGTCGAGGCAGTAGGGCAGTCAGCCCACCTCAGCACAAAATGCAGGTCGGGCCGCTTGCTCTGCTTGCTCCGCTGCTGGCCTGGCGGGCCTGGCGGGCCTGGCGCGGCGCGGCGTCTGCGGCACCCTGCCGGCGGGGGTGGGGGGAGGAGGAGCCACTCTCGCCCGTGGCGCCGGCCCGCCGTCGCGACGCTCTGACGGCACCGCAGCGTCGTGGGGAGGAGGGCGAGGCGGGGCGAGGCGGGGGCAGCGCTGTTGTGGTTGAGCAAGGTGGGGGGCGGGGCGGGGTGGGGCAGGACGACGGAGAGCAGGACGACGAGCAGGAGGAAGAATGGCTGCATCTCGGAGCGGCCAAATGGAAAGGGGTGGGGGCGGCACACACGCACACACTCACACTCTTGTGTGAGAAAGTGTGTGTTTGTGGTGAGGGGGAAGGGGGCACCGGCTTGTAAACAGAGTTCTGCGTGTTCTAATGGCGAAATATGGGGGCCGCCGGCGGCGGCGGCGGTGGTGGGGTTTGATTCGTTCGGCCTTCGGGCCCTTACGCCCTCCGCGACGCGTCGCAACGAGCAGCCGAACAAAAGGTGTCTGCGGAAACGGTGAAATATACACGCCGTTATCGGGGTGCCCCCTCGCTTCCCCGCCCCGCCACGCCCCACTGCGTCTTCGCCGAATAATCTTGAGACTGGCGAGGGGCCGCGGCGGCGCGTCGTGACAGACACTCCGCTCCATTCGCCGCTCGTTATTGGCCGAATTCCGGCCCCTATTCGCAGTGAGGTCCTCGCTATTCGCAGGGCGGGCCCCGTAACAAGGTCGCCTCGCCGCAGCGCTCGGTGTAATGAGACCGCGCGGTGGAAATAGCGAGCAAATGCATTTATTTTTATTCTTAATTTGTGTGGAATTCCCGGGAATCCCGAGTGTCTTTCCGTCGATGCCCCCCCCCCCCCCCGAAGGCCGAGCAGACCGAACACACATGCACACTCGACTAATCCAAGTGGCGCACTCTACGGCAGGGCTGGCAGCGGGACAACCCTGCGCCAGCAGATTGGACTTTTGCTTCTGGAGACGACTCGGCTTTGCCATGGCTTTGCCGTGCAGGACGCGGGGGCGACAAACGGTGTGTCTGTGCCAACGGCAGCCAACGGCAGCCAAACGCAGCCAAAGGCGTCTTTATAGTGCCGTAAAGCTAGTCCGAGTTTGCGAAACACGCTGCCACTGCCGCTGGGCAGCGCCGCGCCACGCCAGGCGACGCCAGGCCCCGTGTCGGCGACACCACCCTAACTGCCGCAGCTCGCCGTCCGACTTACAGCCTTACAGTGGCGCTCCACAGCCGCCTCGCCCCAAACTTAAACAAAGGCCGGTTTAACACACTAGAATCGCTCGCCGGTGTGCCTGCCTCAAAGATCACTTTACCAAACGTTTTTCGTGAAAAAACGTTCGGCAGCGTCTTGATGAAAACTGAAGATGAAATTGCAAAATGTCGTGTTGTTTTGAAGAATGTCTCGTTTGCAACGCTGTCGGCGTGTGCGACCCCCTACGGCCCTACGGCACATAATTCAAGAGTTTGCACAAGGCGCTTAGGCGGGGCACTCCAAGGCCCCCGTGCACGAGCTGCGCTCAAGCTCCGCTAGCGGACGAGGAGCCGTGCTCGCTGCTTGAAAAGAAAGACAAGGGGCAAGATGGCTCTCCCCTCGTCGCGTTTGTTGAACCTCACTATTTTACGAAAACTTTCTTGCAGAGATACAATTTATGGCGAATATTTGCCTTCTGTATACACTAAGGGTCCGAGTTCCGAGATCAGCGAGCTGGAGGAAGTTGTTTTAGCGTTCAAGTCCGGCTATATTTTTTCTCAAACTACCCAAAAAAATAAAAATGTATCCGTTTTTTTCTCTTGTCCTTTTGTTTTCGGTGATAGCCTGGGTGGCTGCTCATGTAAGTTGATGAGTTGGCGTGGTGCCCTCATCGGCAAAACACGAAAGCGAGATACCTTGAGCAAGAGAGAAGGATGGAGGATGAGAGGGCAAACAAGAGAGAGGGGAGGGACACATGCGCAGCCGCAACGGGCGAAAAGGAGTTCGCTGGGGATGCATGTTTTCGTGGCCAGTGGAGTGGGGTCGGGAGCCTCGTGGCTGTACCAAAGTCCGGTCTAACGTTGTTCTAACTTGAACAGATATTTTCTATTTTTCGATTAGATGCTTTGATTTCAGCTAAAACAGCGACGACATTGCGCTTTTTGAAGTGTACCATATTATGCCGCTTGGCACCTGTTCGTCGTATCTCCACGCGGCGCCGCCTCGAAACGCGCTCGCAAAACGGGTCTAACACAAAGCGAAGCTCTAATCTAAAAGTAGCGAGGACCACGGCACGAAGGACCCAGGTCGACGGTCGCGGCGGCCCCCACGCAAAGTGAAGCCTAAATTTATAAAGAAAACAAGCTAAGGAAGACTGCAGAAAACGAAAACAAACGACAGGCCCTTCTCTCTTTTCAGAACGTTCGGACCAGCGTTTCTTCACACGATTTTAAATGGATTGCTATTCATTTGTCTGTCACACTTCCGGTGGTGACGACTGATTTTTCGGCCATCCGTCAGCCCGCTTTGTTTTCGACAAGGCGCCACTCACTCCGGGCCCCGAATGGCTGACGAACCGACAACAACAACACCCACCACCTATCAGCACCGCCAATAGCAAAAGTGGCGACAACAACTACACGCCACCAGCAACAACGTCAACACACCAACAACAACAGCGCGACGCGCGGTGACGCCGCTGTCAACCGGGCGAGAAAGAAATCGCGCGGGACCACCGCGGCGGCGTCGCGACGCGGGGAGGCGGTCGGCCGCGGTCGGCGAGAGACTAAGCAGACGGACGTCGGCCGTAGCCTCGCACCGCCACACTGGCACCGCTGGCACACTGGCACCGCCACCGCGCCGCGGCGGTCGCGAGCTCGCGACAAACGCACGTGCGCGTCAGGGCTTTAATGAGCTGGTCGGGGCGTGCTTCCCACGACCCGTGAGTGTGACAGAGACAGAGCGACGAAGCACTCTCAGCGCGGTGAAGGAGAAAACCAAGATGGCCGCCGCGAAACATAACAAACCCTCACTTGTTTTCGGATTTTCCGCTCTGCGCAGGCGCGCCTGGTGAATCGTCAACGGGTAGGTCTCATGAACCTAGTCGCGCGACTCGCGTTCGGCATTGTCGTTGACCGTGCGGAGTGAGTTAGCGCGGGCCGCACTGCAAGGCCGGCGTCCCTGCAGTGTGCTTTCCCAGCTGATTGCCTGGCGTCCCGTTCGCGTTCGCCCCGTTTTCGCCAGTTAGATGTCACACCCTCCCACCTTGTCCCGCCAAATCAATGGGGGCGGGCCGGGCGGGCTGCAAGGGTTCCGGGGCCCCGGACGTGCCCGACCGGAAACGGACGAGTCGCATCCCTCTCTCTGTCGCTCCGCGGGCCCGGCGCGCTCCGCCTGCCCGGCCGGCCGGCCAGTCTCCCTCGTCCTCTGTCACATTACGGGCCGCCAGCCCTGCCAGCCCCGCCTGGCCGGCCGGCGCCGCGGTGCAGCCAGCCAGAGCAGCCAGCCGGGCGCGGCAGGCAAAGGCGGGCGAAGGTGGGCAAACGGCCACGACCTGCCCAACCAGCTAGTGGACGCACCGGCCTGCACCGGCCCACTGGGAAGGGCCGGCCGGGCCGCGCGGATGGGACAGGATGGAGCCGGGAGGGAGACGGACCTGAGGGATTCAAATTTAGATTCTAGCGGGGATGCCTCCGCTCCGCCGCCTCGCAGCGATGTTCCCTCCCTCCCTCCCACCCCGACCCCACCCGCACCCACTCCGCTCGGTTCGGCAGCATCCCTGACACAGGATAGATATGTCACCGGATCGCGCCCCGTCCGCCCGTCCGCCCGGGCCCAGTACAGCGCCACGGGATGGGATGGCAGCACTAACGCGATTGGCTGTGCGTCACTGACACTCTTTGCCGCCAAAACCGCACGGCCGGCTCGGTGCCACCAAGGGTGCCACCGCCGTGGTGGACACCACGCGGGCGGCTGCTGGTCCGCGTCTGGTCGGTGCGACGCGACGCCGGCGTGGCGCCGTCCAAAAACCCGGTGGCCGCCACGCTCCCCCAGAAGTAGGGGCGACTGGACCCGTCCCGTCCCGTCGCGTCCCCGTCCAGCGATGCGGCAAAACTTTCCAAGTTGGCGTGCCGTCAGGACGGCCAGGACGGCCAGCACGTCAGGGCCACGCGTCCGGGCTGGCTGCCGCCGCGCTGCCGCCGCCTGGCGCTGGCAGCGCTGCCATGCCTGGGCGTGCCTGTGGAGGGCGTCGCCGTGGCGGGGCGTCCCTGCCCGGACAGGACAATAACCATCCCGGCGGTGCGCGCCGCGCCAGCGCGCTCTAGCGGCCCAACTCTGCAGCGCGACGCCGCGACGCCGCGACGGCTGGCTTTGTTTCCCGACCGTCACAACGTGCACGACGTCGTAATGGCTGCAGCCGTCCCGATGACAAACGGCGCCAGCAGGGCGTGGGGATTGTAGGCCGACAAATGCAGACCGTTGGCGGCGGCGGCGGCGGCGGCGCGGCCTGCCCCGAGGACGCGGCTGCACTGTGCGGCAGCTGCGGACAAGCGCGGGACTCGCTGAGCGCGCACCGCACGTTGCGCGTGCGTGCGAATTATGTGCTAAAGTCGTGCGCGGTGGTTTCGAACGAACGCCTTTAACGGCCGTTGCTGTGCGGGGCGTGCTTCATGGCGCCGCGCGCTGCTCTCCCCCACCGCCCCCACCCTCAGACCCCGGGAAGAACTGCCGGCGTGGCGCGCCCCGTCGCCCCGTGACACTGCACATGTTTCATTGCTCTAACCCGTGTGGCCCGAGACCCGGTAAAGATTGTTTTTTGGCGTTCTTCGGACTCCAAATGTACTTTAATTAACACCAAAAGGACACCATAGAAGCACGCTAAATAACTCCAATTACATCAAATGCATTGGTGTCAACGCGCGTTATTATGGATTTTTTTTAGTGTAAAAAGGCTCGTTTTTTCACCAAAAGAACGCCATAAATACCAAAGCAGAGGACAGCCATAGAGAAAAATGACAAAAGAGAGACGGCAGGTGTTGATCCCCCGATCTGCGACACGGCAGTTTCGTGCGGAACCGCTTGGCCAGAGCGACTCCGAGAAGATGAGCCGCACGGCAGCTATTGTCGTGCGTTGTGCCCCGCTCGGACTTAGCCCGAATCCCCGCGGCTGGAGCCCAATCTTGTTTCTATAAACATGAACTCGTACAGTGTAGCAGACCATTACAGGTTCCGTCATTTTATAGAAACAGATTGGGCTCCAGTTCATGTTCTATAAACCTGACAGGACCTGTAATGGGCTGCTACACTGTACGAGTTCATGTTTATAGAAACAAGATTGGGGTCCAGCCGCGGGATTCGGGCTAAGTCCGAGCGCGGCACAACGCACGACATATAGCTGCCGTGCGGCTCGTCCCCCCGGACTCGCTCTGGGCCCAAACGTTCCGCACGAAACTTCCGAGTCGCAGATCTGGGGATCAACACCTGCCGTCTCTCTTTTGTCATTTTTCTCTATGGCTGTCCTCTGCTTTGGTATTATTATGGCGTTCTTTTGGTGAAAAAACGAGCCCTTTTTTCACTAAAAAACTCCATAATAACGCCGCGTTGACACCAAATGCATTCGATGTAATTATGGAGTTATTTAGCGTGCTTTTATGGTGTCCTTTTGGTGTTAATTTGAAGTACATTTGGAGTCCGAAGAACGCCAAAATAACACCATCTTTACCAGGTCTCGGCCACACGGGTAATCAGTTTGCCCCCACCGCCGACGACGCGACGCTCCGCTGCCCCCTGGCGCGCACACTGGTGGACCCTCCAGCCAAGGGCGCCGCGTCGCCGCGCGTTGCTGCAAGGCAGGCTGGCTCCTCCACGCTCCTCCACGCAGTGCGCGCAGTGCGTGTCCTAGATTCGCCGCCGGAGCCGAGGGGCCGGACGGGCCGGGCGGACGGCGGGCAGGTCCAGGGCCGCGCCGCACGGCCCCACGGCCTCACGGAGCGTGGCCGTGGCCCTGTGCCAAGCAGCGCCAAGCAGCGCGTGGCCCTCACCGCTAGCGGGCGGCGGGCGGGCGCGGGGAGGGCGTGCATGTTGTTGCTTGTTGTCCGGACTCGCTTTCAAACTGAGGTGGCCGCCGTCGCAACCCTACGGCCCCCGTCGCCCATCAACATCACAGGGCGGAACGGGGCGGCGCGGGGCGGCCGTGGAGAGGGGGTGGAGGCAGCATTGGGAAGCAGCAGGGGCGACTAAAGAGCCGGGCCGCGAGCACCGCAAGCCGTGCGGTGACTAGAGAGGCGAGGACCGGAAGGACCGGGCCAAGGGGATCCGAAACGCGACGCCCGAAAAACGAATCGCTTTCTGCAACTTTAGCGCCAACGGGCCGGATTTGCAATACTGACCAGGTTGATGGTGACGACGAGGTCGTGCTGCTGGTGGCGCTGCCCCTTCTTCTTGGCCTTGGCGGGCGCTGGCTTGGGCGGCGGCGGCGCGGGCTTGGGCTGGGCCTTGGCCTTCACCTCGCCCTTCTGGGCGCTGGGCGGCTTGGGCGTGTGCGCGGTGGCGGCCTTGGGCTGCCCCGGGGCGGGCTTCCCCGTCGACGGCGTGCTCGCCTTGGTGCCGACGGGCGTCTTCTCCCGGGACGCGGCCTTCTGCGGGTGGGAGCCATCGGCCGGCTTGTTGCGCGCCTGCAAGACACAAGGACTGGTCAGCAACACTCTGGAAGTCAAGTCAAGGCGATCATACCGACGGAGCGAGTCCACCGGGGTCTATGAGCCTGCTGTCACTCTACTGTAGGCTAACTCATTGCAACTTCACCAAAAACACAAAAAAAAATACTGTCATAAATGAATGTTGCTTTCAAACCGTCAGCCTTCCTGAAAAGTGAATATTTGGAGCCAACGTAGTCCTCTTCTCCACCCTAGGGCAGTGGTTCTCAACCTTAGGGTCGCGACCCCAAGTGGGGTCGCGAAAAAATTTTGAGGGGTCGCGGCGGGCTGAGGTCACCTGGGGTCGCGGTGGTTTCGTGGCTGGCCTACAGGCCGAGCACTGCCGGGAACATAAATTCGCGGAAAGTTGATCAAAACGGTCAAAAATGCCTTTGAAAAATCGTGTTTTGGGCCGACTTTAAGCAGCCACTGCGTCCGATCCGAGGCGGGCCTTCGTAATTTCTCAACGGGCATTTGGTCTTTGGACCTTTCTTTAGCATGCCTTTGTTACGGAGTGCGATTATCCGCCTTAGTACGGGAGCAGTGTTGGCTCAAAGTTGGTCAAAACGGCCAAAAATGCCTTTGAAAAATTCGAGTTTTGGGCCGACTTTAAGCAGCCACTGCGTCTGATCCGAGGCGGGCCTTCGTACTTTCTCAACGGGCATTTCGTCTTTGGACCTTCCTTTAGCATGCCTTTGTTACGGAGTGCGATTATCTGCATTAGTTCGGGAGCAGTATTGGCTCAAAGTTGATCAAAACCGACTTTAAAGACATTTTTGACCGTTTTGGTCAACTTTGAGCCAATACTGCTCCCGAACTAAGGCAGATAATCGCACTCCGTAACAAAGGCATGCTAAAGGAAGGTCCAAAGACCAAATGCCCGTTGAGAAAGTACGAAGGCCCGCCTCGGATCAGACGCAGTGGCTGCTAAAAGTCGGCCCGAAACACGATTTTTCAAAGGCATTTTTGACCGTTTTGATCAACTTTGAGCCAACACTGCTCCCGAACTAAGGCAGATAATCGCACTCCGTAACAAAGGCATGCTAAAGGAAGGTCTAAAGACCAAATGCCCGTTAAGAAAGTACGAAGGCCCGCCTCGGATCAGACGCAGTGGCTGCTTAAAGTCGGCCCAAAACACGATTTTTCAAAGGCATTTTTGACCGTTTTGATCAACTTTGAGACAATACTGCTTCCAAACAAAGGCGGATTATCCCACTTTGTGTCAAAGGCATGCTAAAGGAGGGGTCGCGTGGGGTCGCGGAAATTTTTGGCTACAAATTTGGGGTCGGGAGCGGAAAAAGGTTGAGAACCGCTGCCCTAGGGCCTAGCTACGGCATGCATGCACTACACTGCGAGGCGGGCTGCAGCGGGGCCGCCCTGTGATTGACGCCGCGCTCTCGGCCTCTCATCGCCATGACGGCGTGATGCGGCATGACGGGGACGGGGCGCCGGGGCGCCGGATGAGGCAGGGCTGCAGCCCGCCGTGGCGCGGCGGCGGGCAGGGCAAGCCTCGGGGCAGGCGGGGCTCGAGCCATGGCCTTCTTCCGCTCCGATTCTGTGCCGAAGCCTTTGCCTGCCTTTGGCTGCCTTTGGCTGCCTTTGGCCCCGCCAGCCTTTTGCCGCAGCAGGCAGCAGCCCCACTGCAAGACGCGGGATAATGCCGATGCCCCGCGATGCAGCCCATCCCCTCGTCGCGGAGCGGCAGCCACGGCGGCAGCCACGGCGGCACGAGGGAGGAAAGGACGGCAAACAAAACGGCCAAGTCGTGCCAGCCGTTTTGGAAGGAACGCCGAATGCAGTCGTCGCTCCGCTTCATTTGCCGAGAGCTTTCCGTTCCCGGCGTTCTGGCTTTTCGGCTCCGCGGAGCTCCGAGGCACGGACTGTGCGCCACTGTAAACCGAAGGAATGACTCAATTACGTCTACCCGCCCCTGTCCCCTGTCGGCGCCCTGACGAGCCAGACGACTGGCGTGTCGTGCCTGGACGTCCCAGTATCACGCGCATTGTCAGTCTTGGAGAGTGGGTTGCTTCCCCCTCCCGAAGCCTGAAGCACCCCCTGCACGCCGTGCACGCCGTGCTAGCAGAGCCCCCCCCCCCCCCCGGCCCATCAAGCAGCGCGCCGACACTCCCGCCATGCATATTAACGCTCATTCTCGCACATTGTGTTTAACTTTTGCCGGCACATTTTTTTTTCTCCCTCCCGCCCTGCCAGCCTGCCTGCCTGCCAGCCTGCCTGCCCGTCACCCAGTGTGGCACATTCTAATTGCTGCTCTTCGCTCGGCGTGCCTGCCGGGGCACGTCCGCGGCCGAGTCCGCTCCGCCGGGCAACGCGTCCAGTCCCCAAAGTATGTCCGCGGCGTCAGGGGAGGCTCACAGACCCGCAGACTCGTCAGGTTTGTCGGTTTGAATAGGACGCCTGATTGGATAAGTTTTTGCGACTGGCGAATGTCGACGGCGTATGTATCTGCGATGCCGAAAATGTGGGGCAGTGGGAATGTCCGCGTCCGGCTGGCCATCTGTTTATCAGGGTCCTGACGTCCGTCTGGCCTCAACCAGGAACCACCAGGGCCCAGCTCGTGCGGCCCTTGCCCCCCAGGGCTTCAAGCTCCCACTGCTCCCACTACCTGCGTCTGCATCTCATTGCTAAAATTTCAATCCAACGGCCCTCTTCTATTTTCCCTAAGCGGAGGTCGCAACGTTCAGTCCCCCCGAACAAAGCTGCTGACGGCACGGCGGCCCCCTCTCGGCGCTCCCTCTGCCTCTGCCCGGACGCGGCCCGGACGCGGCCCGGCGGATGTTTCGAAAACGGACGGGGAGGCGGAGACAGAGACAAGGGCGCTGGGAGCAGCTTTCGTGGCGGCCCGGGACGGCGGCACGACGGCGGCAGTGACCTGCCGGCCTTTTTTTTTCTCCCTCCCTCCCTGCTTGTCTGGGCCGAGAATCTCTCTCTGTCTCTCTCCCTCCGCCGACATGTACACTCGGCCGCACGTCAGTTCATTGTGCAAAACTTGGCCGGAGGAAAAGGAAAGGCAACTTGGGAAAACAGTTCCATGTTCTATGGGCGGCTGAAGGCGAGCGTCAAGGGCGGATCGGCGGCCGTCGTGGGGCCTGGCCGTCGGGCCGGACCGGCCGCCATCCACAATCACAATCAGGGAGAAGCGAAGCAGCGGAGCGCGGCCCATCGAGATCCATCGGGGATAACGTCCCCCGAGCAAAACCGTAGACATGCCGCACCGACGGGAATCGAACCCGTGACCTCGCCGTTGCGCTGTGCTACGCTGACCTTGACGTTGCCGCCGTAGCCTCGCCGCTGCTGGGCGTGGTCCTTCTGCTGCTGCGTCACCTTCCTCGAGATGAGCCCGGGCCTCATGGTGGCCGCTCAGTGCATGGACCTGCACACGCTGCGCGTTACAACAACCCGGACTGCTCGGACGCGACACGCGAACTGATCGCGGTTTACCGGGATGTAATGGCAGAGCTACTGAGTGCCGAGGCAGGTTTCTAAGGTCATGGGGGAGCGTGGGTTTAGGGGTGCTTCCATCCCTGCTATGCAGTTTTATGTTTGTTTTTGTGACGGCTTACAGGAAATTTCCGCGTGTCCCGGAGCTAATGGCCTCTCGGCGCGGCTCTGGGCCCTTCGTCGGGGCACTCCGCCGGCGGGAGGGGCGGGCAGAGAAAAAGAGGGAGGGGGGGGGGGATCCGGGCCGGAAGCGCGCGGGATGGACGGCCTGTCACACTTTGGACCAATCAGAGTGGCGCGGCGCAGCGCCTTGCCTGAGATATGTGTGGAAAACCAAACTTTAGCTGCTGTAGCCGCGATTCCTATCCTGGGGCCCTTTCTTCTCGGAGCCATTTGCATCGGCTGTCAGCGGCTCCCTCTGGGGCCGCCCCGCCCCCGCACGGCGAAGCACGGCCAACAAAGAGGCATCATTGGCCGAGACGAACAAAAGGCAAATGCAGCCGCAGAAGTGCGCGCCGCGCGGAAGGAAGTTTGGAGCCGAGCGGCGAGGCGCCTTCTGAACATGTGCTCGAAACGTATCGCCGCATCAGGCCCCCGTTCAACGCACAGTTTGGTTGGTTCGCGCGCGAGCCCTTGTCGGACACCCTTGAAACCAGAGATTTCCCCAGCCGAACATGTCCGGGGCCCTCGCGGCCCCTCGTCCACAGGTGACGCGAACCCTCCGGGGCCCCACACGGGCCCACCGGACGGGCCCACCGGACGGGCCCACCGGACGGGCCCACCGGACGGGCCCACCCGCATTGCAGCCACGGGAGGCCTCCCCGACTGAAACGGAGACGAAAGGGGAATTCCGGGTCCGGTGGTGGGGCTGGTGGGGGTGGTGGGGGTGGTGGGGGCATGCCGCTGCAGCGGGGCCGAAGCGGGGCGGGCAGGTGGGCTCCCGTGATTGCACGACTATGACGAGAAGCGCCCTCGCCGTCCCTCTGCAGAGGGCTGCCTGGGGACACCCCGTAAATGATTCAGCCGAATAGTATTCTTTTGCCTGATCCTGGAGCGGGAGCGACGTGAGCGCTAAGTCGGCATGCCGCCCGTTGGGTCACCGGCGGAGCAACAGCGGCTGCTGGCCGCCGTCCGCGCGACGTCAAGCGACGCATGCGGACGTCCCGCAACGCAGGCAACGCGGCGAGGCCGGACCTGGACAAAGTATCTAAAAATCTAAAAAAAAGTATCTAAAATACTTTGTCCAGGAGGCCGGACGCCGCGATGAGCCACCAGCCCTTTGCGCGGTCCCGCTGCCTTGCTGCCCCGCTGCCCCGCTGCCCTGCTGCCCTGCCCGACACGCCAAAAAATAAAAGCGGCAGTCGAGGAGAAATGAATGACGACAGTTTGGCCGGGAGTTGGAGTGGAATGGGGGCAGCAGCGGCAGTGGCGGTACGAGTGGGCGACGCGTGGCGGGCGCGGGTCACGTCGGCGTCCTGGCGCGACGCGTGGCGGGCGCGGGTCACGTCGGTGACCTACAGCGGCACGTGCGGCGCGAGTTTTTAATATTCCCCGCAATGCACTCCGGGACAGTCTGCTATCGAGGACGCAGGGGCGGATGTCGACTCGGTGGCGCTTTCGCTTTGGCTTTCGCTTGGCTTTCGCGCGGTGCTTGGCTGGCGCTATGCGCCGGGGGTCTGGTGGAGCTGGGGGAGATAAGAAACCTGCCTCGCCACACAAAGGACACCGAAGGACACTGAAAACTGGGTTGAATTTTTATCACTCGGCGCGCTATCCCCGAGATAGCCCGAAGTGCACGAGGGGATGCACCCGGTCCTTGTGGGGGCGTGGGGCCGTGGGGCGGCTGGGCCGCGCGAGCCCCGCTATCTCCAGCGGCAGGGCTCCTCGAACGAGCAAAAGAGGTACTACACCGTGCGCACAAAAGCCTTCGGGACTAGGGGCTGCTTCTTAGGGAGATTAGCGGGCCGTGCCATTTCCACGCAATGGCGGCATCACCGTCGCCGTCATCCCCTTCAAGTTGCACCGCGTAAAGGAGTGCTCTCGAATTGCAGGGCCACGAGTCACTTCCATTCGATTTGGTCTTTTTGATTTTACTGTCACACTTTAAGTAGCACATTCATTCAAGAGATTTTTGTTTTTCAAAAGTGTCGACGTTCAGCAACCCAAAACAAGGTGAACGGACACAGATTAGGGCCAAACGCATGGGATGGTGTTTGAACCGTTTCGGCCACAAAACAAGGCCCTCAGCCTTGCCAGGTTCAATTTCCAGTTTGACTCGAAGCTACACGGTGCCCTCGTTTACTCGTCCAAGGTCCGCGGGAAGGAAGCGCCAATGTTCCTGATCGGTGCGTTACTCGGAGGGGTGTGCCGCGAGACCACCACGAGACCGCCGCGAGGCCCTCGGCGACGTCGCGGCCGAGAGCGAGAGGGGCGCACGGAGCAGCGAGAGGCGCGGCGGTGCCGGCGGTGCGGTCGCTCCGTGGGGACGACTGACAGCCAGGCCGGCGCGGGCGGCACTGGAGGCACTGGAGGGCGCCACGGCAGGGCGGCAGGGCGGCACCGGCGCCTCACTCCTCCGGGGCTCCGGCGATCTCTCTCTCCGCGAAGGGGGCGGGCCGGCGGGCCGCGGGGCGCACACTGCCGGGCGGCAGGCTGCTTACCGGTGAGTCCGGCTGCACTCCAGGCTGGAGTCTCCAGTCTCCACTAGCTAGCCGGGGCGAGGTGCAACTCCCGGCTGGAGTGGCGCAAGTGGCGGCCCTCTGCCCGCTCCACCGTGACCCCGGCCACCTGGACGACGCGGACGTCTTGGACGGCGAGTAGCCGCTTCCTTCCTTCTTCCTCCTTGTTTCGTATCGCACTTGAACGAACAAGTCTGCCCGTCTCGTGCAGTCCACTTAGTCGCAATTTGGCCAGCACTCCCCCCACCCCCTCTCCTCCTTAGTCGTGTGGAGCCCGCCCGCTCTCCGCCCTCCCTCCACCGCTCACGTCTCCGGGCCAAGGGGTGGGGGCGGCGGCCGGGGAAGGCCACGCCAGCCACGCCAGCCACGCCGCACAGATCGGCTGCCTCAACCGTACCCCGAGAAAGGTCCAGAAAAAGATCCCGATAATTTGCACATGCCTTCTAAGTTGATTGAAAATGAAATATTTTTATGTGTTTCGGTACCGACTTATCAATTATTATTCTATTGCCTTGAGGTTTTTCGGGACCTCTCGCGCCGAACTTCAATCTTTGCGAAGCATTTTGCGCGTACGTAAGATTCAAACAATTCAGTTTGTACGACGAAATACTTGTAAAATTACAAAGTAATCTTTTGAACAATGATCAAGATGCGTAGTTGGGAAGGGTCTGAGAGTGTGAAGCCTCGGCGTTTCGATTCCGAGCCGGCCTCGGCGCCACTGCCCTGCCTTTGCGCCTTTTTGCCTTCACGGTCTCCTCGTCTGCCCCTGTGCCGTCCGCGCATTTTTTGAGGATGCTCTTCGGCACTTCCTCTCTCCCTCTCTCTCCTCATTCATCATCCAGCCCCCCCCCCTTTTCCTCGATCTGGGCCGGCCGTGCAGTCATTACATAAATTCCAGCTCGTTTCCATACCATGCCCAGCCCGGCCCGGCCCGGCCCGCCGTTCGGATTACGGGCGCTTCACATGTAACGACCCTTCCGAACCCGAATCGCCGCGAAGCGCGCACCGTAAAAAGGGGACGCCGCGGATTATTTTTCGTTTTATGTTTTTCTCATGCAGCATGAATTTTTTATACGGATTTGCGATTCGCACACATTATGCCCGTACAAGAATAACACATTCCGAAAGTTGAATAATCATCGCAAGTCGGCTGGAGTGCGTTGGCAGAAGCCGTCTAGCCGTGAAATGGATTAGCCTGACTGGGCGACGACGGGGCGGGCGGACGGCACGAGTGGACGCGAGGCGAGGCACGGGGGTGGCGCGGAAAAAGTTGCCGCCCCTCCGTGCCTGCCCTGCCTTGCCCTGCCTTGCCCTGCCTTGCCCTGCCCTGCCTCCGGTCTGGTCCCAACGCCCCCCCACCCCCACCCTTTCCCCTCCGCCTCCACCGCCGGCTCGCTCCCTGCGCCGATAAGTCTTCATGAGAACACACGTCATTTCGCCAATTCTGCCATTGTTAGCGCACTAGGGACGAATGCCGCTCGCCCCCCTCCCTCTCTCTCCCACCGCCTCGCTTCCGTTCGACGTCTTGTTTTCCATCTCTGTCTCCGCCGAGCCCCCCCTCCCCCTCCCCCTCGGCGTGCCTCGGCGTGCCCTATGCCGCCATTGTCAGGGACACATCCAGGTGACCTACATACGAGGGAAAAGGGGGTAGGGGGAGGAACTTCTTTAACAGTGGCGAAATGAAACGGCAAAAGTACCTCTAAAATAGTTGGCGAGACAGACGGGCGTGGTAAGCGGGCGCCTCGCGCCGCTCCCCGCCTCACGCACTCAACTCTTTTCGGTAGTTGTTGGCAAATTGCCCCGAATGCGAAAGGTGCCTCCCCGCTCGCCCCGCTCGCCCCGCGCCCCCTCCCCGCGGGCCTGGCGCCGCCGAGCAGCCCGAGCGGGACGGTGGTAGGCTGTTAAGGAAAGCGGGGTGGGAAAGGGAAAGTTGAGCCAGAGCGGTGAAAAGTGGGGAGCGGTGCGGAGCGGTGGCATGAAGGCGTGGGAAGGAGTCTGCCGAGTCTACTTCACTTGTCTGCGACTGCAGTTCGACTGGGGAGGAGGGGGGGGGGGCACCCAGCAGCCTGCCTAATTACCTCAGAAAAGGCGGACCACTTGCCAAGTCGCAGCGCCGACTGGCCGAGCAGCGCCGAGCAGCGCGCTGCACCGAACCGGCGTATATTTGCAATTACCCGCGGGTACAACACATTGCAACACTCCAGCCAATCCACTGTCGGGGGCTGTTCACAAACCACTTGACTGTCTGTCCGTCTGTCTGCGCTTCCCACCCATGCCCCGTCCGACCTTGGCAAGTATTTGCCGGCCATGCGTCTTGCCGTGTCTGGCTCCAGCCCCCTCCCCCCACCCTTCACCCCCTTCGGCGCGGCGGCCAAAACGTTCTCCATAATGAGCCGGCTGCGATACTGACGGCACTGGAAGTCTCAGGCTGGCAGGCTGGAAGGCGCAGGGTGGCACCAAAAGCAACCTCGTTGTTCCTAGTCTGCAGTTATAATCCTTCTCTAAGCGGTTTTTTTAGATGAACACTTTGGGGTTGTTGCTCCACTTTCTGGCGGCCGGCGGCACGGTTCGCCCGTTTTGCAAGTTGGCTGCCTTGATTCCTGATTCCTGTCCTTCATTTAGAACACCTTTGTTACGGAGTGCTGCCAGCCAGCCAACCCTTTGGGCACTGGCGCATCGTGGGATTTTTCAGCCTGCTCAAGGCGCAACACACTGGTCTACTACTACACCGGCTACCGCCCGCTACCGCCGCTACCGCCTGCTACAGTGCTACTCCTTGCTGGCCGCTGGCCTCCGACTTACGGGCGAGCGAGGCGAGGTGGACGAGGACAACTCACATGACCGCCTGTTGGACGTGTGCGCGCAACTCACCTGCAAAAGGAAACACCAGTCCGTCAGACAAGCAGGCAAGCGAGGCTAGGGTGCTGGCGGGGAACGCCTGAGGCAACGCGAGTGCGCGTTTGGCGGTGCGTTGCCTACCCGCCGGGCGGCCTCCAGGAGCTCCAGGGAGTCGTCGACCAGTCGCTCGGCTGCCACAGCGGTACCCCTCGCTACCCGCGGGACTACTTCGTGCATCAACCCCACACCCGTCGGCGATACCCCGGGTTGCTGGGGACATCACACCGGCCCCGCGCGTCGCAGCGCGTCGCTACCCCTCCCCGGCGCGGCGCTGGCCGCGGGGTGTGTCGCCGACAGACCCTCCACGCCGACTGGCCGATGGGGGGCGCCACCAGTGCAGGCACACGCGCCGCCGCCTGGACCGCGAGAGGCGAGAGCCCCCCGCAGCCCCCCGTCGCCCCAGGCTCGAGTAGATTTCAACCTTTTTTGGGCGGGGGCGCGGCGGGGGCGCGGGGCCGAATCAAGACGAGAGGGACTCCACGAGGGCCGGGCGGAATGAGCAAACGTGGAAACAGTTACCATGCCAGCCAAGAAACAAACTCGTGCAAGCATCGTGCATTCTACTGTCCCGAAGCAATTAGATGGTCGGACCATGACCTAGAAGCGCGCCGCTGAGGCGGGGGGGGGGGAACCGAGCCGATTTGGTACGCATCACGATGATGAACCGGAACAAGACGCCCTACGCCCCTTTGCATTATGCCTCACGGGATAAGCTGGTGGGCCTGGCTCGACCCCTCCCCTTCCAAGCCAAACAATCCCCATCCACTTTCTTTTGCCTCGTTTCCAAAGGGGGAAGAGAGAGGGAGCACAAGGGCACGGCTCTCCGGCAGAATACGTCTCCTTGGCAAGGGCCATAGGAGGATGCAAACAGAGATTTCCAGATACTGTGCAATGTGCGACCCTCGGCATTTCCAGCGGGCTGAGTTCGTCCGTGTGAGTGCATGAGTGTGTGTATATGACCATGTCCGTGGGTGTCTGTGTGTGTGAGAGAGTGTGTGCGATACACACAAGCGCCGCTGCTTCTCATCCCCTTTGGAGCCGCCGCCACCTCAAACGCCCCGTAAAGCTGTCTGGTGAATTTCCACAAAACTTGGCGTCCGCCGGGTGGGGCCGCGGGGCCGCGTGGGGCGCCTACACTAGCGACGGGGCGGACGGGGCGGTCCGGGACGGCCGGACCGCGCTGTTGTTTTTACCGCTTTGGTCACAAGCCGCTTCACAGCTCTGCCGGCTCGGCCCGGCTCGGCCCGGCTCGGCCCCTTCATACACAACGCTCCGGGCTCCGGGCGGCCGAGACTCGCAGCAGTGTGTGTCCGAGTGTATTTTGCGCCCCGAAGCACGCCGATTCACAGCGAGCGACTCCGAGTCACCGTGGAGGCGCTGTGCCGCTACCGCGAGCGATTGGTCAAGCGGGCTCGACCAATACGGGGCCGCACGTGACAAGCCAAAAAAAAAAAAGGAAAACGAAAAAAAAAAAACCGGGGATTTTCAAAACAAACTAAGCCGTGGAAGATTTAGAAAAAACCGCAGGTGATTAGCGTCCGCGACGGATTAATTCGGGGCGCGTTTTTCCTCGCCGTCAGCGCCACGTTTCCGCGTGTTGGGACTGGGCGTGGACCGCTGCCGCGTGCTTCGCAGCGCTTCGCGGACGGACGGAGCCGTCTATGGATTCAGAGTCGCCCCTTCGAAACTGGCCTTGGCCGTGCCGTGCGTGGCGTGCCGCGCCGTGGCCGCCGCGTGGCCCATGCGATGCCCAGCAGACCAACAGGCCAAGCCAAACATCCCCCACCCCCACCCCCACCCCTAGAGGAGTGGCGAACCAGGAACGACGGTGGCGTCTCTCCTCGTGCGCGACATCTCAAAGACCTCAAACGATTCTAATCGTAAAAAAAAAGAAGTTTCGTTCACCTCGAGAAATAAAACTAACAAAAACAACCGGCTTGAGCAAGTCCGAGAATGGCCGCAGCGCGCTGGCTTGCTGGTGCGTACAGCGCGGCCACTGGAAAGCTGAAGCTGAAAAATGACGGAGTCCCACCTCATTAATTTTCGTGTTGGAGAAAACCAGCAGCCCCCCCCCCCCCGCTGAAGGTCGCCGAGTCCGCCAGTCCATTGCCCCATTCGCGGCACGAGGATTTCCAGCCGCGATGAATATTCACAAGGCGGCGTGCATCCCTGTGACGCTGACGGAGTTTCGGTCTTGACGCGTCTTGACGCGCCCCGGGCAACATTTGAGTCTCCCTAATAATTTCGCCCCGCGACAAAGCCCCCCCCCCCAAACCTAAAGCTGCTCGTGGAAAAGGTGTAAGACCAGCCGACAAAACACGATGCGGGATTAAAAAGGAGGAAAGTTTATCCGTTCCTGTATATATTTTTGAAACTTCTCAGAACTTTCCTGAGCGAGTTCTTCTCTACCCACACACTCGTCGAGTCGCGGGAGGGAAAAGTTGTCGGCGGTACTGCGAAAGCCAAAAGTACTCATGTGTTACGGAGAATCTCTTCTCGGTCTCGGCCGCCCCGGCGCCGGGCGTGTGATAATCAGAACCATTTTCCTCCGAAGTTTCTCGTCGAGAGAGTTTGCCTCCGGCCGCGCTGCGCCGCGCTCGCACCTCGCGACAACCGCCTGATGAATCCGCGATGAATCCTCGGCGTCCTCGGCGCCCCTCTCCTTCTTTCTTGGCGCGCAAACGCTAAAGCGCCGGATTAAAGTTTCAAGCCCGCCCTTTTCCGAAATAAGCTTCCATGATGACGCTAAACGAGGCAAGTCGCCACACAGCGCGGTGGCGGTCTTGGCGGTCTTGGTGAGGGCGCGCCGGATCCGCAACGCGACGCGGGGCTTTGCCGCGCCCAGTACGTCATAAGTTAGAGTTTGTTCAAACTGACGCGTGCTGGGCGCGCGAGAGAGAGCGAGGAGGGAGGGCCGGGGGAGTGAGAGAGAAAGAGAGAGAGAGAGAGGGGGGGGGGAGGTCACGTGGGCGCGGTCTGTCTCAACATGTTACACGCCGCCACGAAGCTAAAGCCCCTCCTATAATGCCTCCTCGCCCCGACGGCCGGCGGGAAGGAAGGCAATGCCAATTCTGTCGCGGTTAAATGGAGAAAAGGATGTGGAGAGGCGCCGTGAGGGGGAGGGGGAGAGAGAGAGGGAGGGAGAGCGCGGCGGTCTAGTCGGAAGGGAGCCCCACTCAGAGATGATGGAACCAATGCAGCCCCAGTGCAGAGGGTGCAGGGCGGCACGACAACAAAGCGGACTGACGCCCTCACGCACACGGCCCCACACTCACACACACACACTCTCTTTCTCGCACACACACGGGAAATAACAACGAAAGCAGTCAAATGGCCGCACTCAGCAAGGCCACCGCCTTTATTTTGCTTTTCCTCCGTTTTAGGTTTTGTTTTACCTTTTTTCCTCCCTTTTCATTCCACCGGAGCATTTTTTTCTCCCGTGCGGTGTTTACGCGCCGCTTTCGGCCGTCTTGTGGGGCTGTGCATCCTGCATACGGTCTGCAGTTCTCGTGCCACTTCTTTGATGTGCTTCGCGGTGTGCGGACGGACGGACGGACAGACGGACAGACAGACAGACATGCTGGCTCACGTTGTGTCTGGCCCGCCGCGCCCCTTGAAGGTAGGCAGCCTGGAAAGCCCGACCGGTGTGGTGCGGGCTCCCCCCTCCCTCTTACCCCCCCCCCCACACACACACGCATACACACAGCAAATGAGTCGCCGCAGCGCGTCCACCGCGTCACTAACTTCATTCTTCTCTCTAGCCGCTAGAGATATAATTTGAAATTCTATAGGGGTAGGAATCTCACAGTTCCCGATAGAGACAGAGAGAGAGAGAGAGAGAGACAGAGAGACAGAGAGAGGAGAGTGGGGCGTTCCAACGCCTCTCTCCGCGGCGGATTGACACGAATACCTCTGCGGCATGATGATGGTCGGGGGAATCCGCGCGCTGCCATTGTTGTGACTACGGACACGGCGCGAGGAGTCGTCAGCCAGAGTCAGCGACCCCCCCAGACATGTGTGTGTATACGAGTCACTCGGACACGAGTTCACGGCGTTTGTTATTTTAGACCCGCTGTTAAAAATTGCATATACGAGTCGTGCTTCTGTTGCCGACGTCGGACAGCAGACATCACGAAACGGCTGGCGTGTCGCTCGATTTCTCGAGTCTGTATCTACATCGTCTCGTTTTCATAATTTTCTGTCGGTTTTGAAAATGTTTTTGCGAGTGTGGCTCGGGGGATTTGCCGGGTCGCTGGCCGTGCCGAGGCCGTGCGCGGCGGGCCTCGGTGGCTGCTGACTGAATGAGGCTCGCGGGACGGAGAGACGGAGGCCGCGGGGCGCGAGGCTCGGAGCGAGGCTAGAGGCGAGGCTAGAGGCTAGACGAGAGGCGAGGCTAGAGGCGAGGCTCGGAGCGAGGCTAGAGGCGAGGCTCGACGCTCGTCGCGAGGGGCTCGGCTAGCGACGCGAGGCGAGGCGACCGCCGTCCGCCCACGCAAGGTATTTTCAGAGTCCATTCAATAACGGTCGCTCGCTCCCGGAACAAACGACGCTAGGGAAAACAAATTCGAAATAGCTCCCGGCGGGGGAGGGGGGGGGCCTTCGCGGCTTCGCGCTTTGGGCTTCGCGGCGACGACTGATGCGCGACGACCTTCCGCGCCTTCGCCGCCACCTCGGGGCCTCCACTCGGTTTCTGGGACTCTCGGACTTTGGGACGCGCAGTCCAGGGGCTCTGTCTGGGGGACAAATCACTGGAGCGGTGGAGGCATGCTGGAGGCATGCTGGAGGCAGGCACGCTGGAGGCCACCGCGCGGCGCGTGCCGCTCCAGGCGCACCGTGCACCGCTCCGCCTTTTCCGTCTTTCCGCTGGCCCAGCGTTTCTCAGGGACACGGCCAGCGCGCCTGGCGAGTCGGCGAGAGCGGCAAAACGGGGCTACACTGTGTGGACGACAACAACCACTGGCGCCAGCGCACGC